ACAAAGACATATGATCAGCTGTTGACTTTTGAATGCAGTAGATAAATAAATAGCTGATAGCATTATTCCACAGATATTAGAAAATAAACGGTGGTATGGATCATAAAATAATCAAATGACGACACTAGCTTGAGGTCCGCGACGTAGGAAGTGTTAAAGAAAGTACTAAAGGTGAACAGTCTGGAGTGTGGAAACTGTTTATAACGATTAGATTAAGGTATCTGCAATCATAAAATGCTACGGAAAGGGAGGGAAACTGGTCCGTGGCGTAGGAAGTGGCGAAGGAAGTAGTAAAGGCGAGCAGTCCGGAGTTTTGGAACTGTTTATGACGATTAGATTAAGGTATCTGCAATCATAAAATGCTATGGGAAGGGAGGATAACGGGTCCGCAACGTAGGAAGTGATGAAGGAAGTAGTCAAGGCAAGCTGTCCGGAGTGTGGGAACTGCTTATGACCATTATATTAAGGTATCTGCAATCCTATGATGCTATGGGAAGGGAGGGAAACAGGTCCGTCACGTAGGAAGTGGTGAAGGAAGTAGTAAAGGCGAGCAGTCCGGAGTGTGGGAACTCTTTATGATGATTAGATGAAGATATCTGCAATCCTAAAATGCTATGGGAAGTAAGGATAACGGGTCTGCGACGTAGGAAGTGATGAAGGAAGTAGTCAAGGCAAGCTGTCCGGAGTGTAGGAACTGTTTACGAAAATTAGATTGAGTTGAGGTATCTGCAATCATAAAGTTCTATGGAAAGGGAGGGAAACAGTTCCGTGGCGTAGGAAGTGGCGAAGGAAGTAGTAAAGGCGAGCTCTTCGGAGTGTGGGAACTGCTTATAACCATTATATTAAGGTATTTGCAATCCTATGATGCTATGGGAAGGGAGGGAAACAGGTCCGTCACGTAGGAAGTGGTGAAGGATGTAGTAAAGGCGAGGAGTTCGGAGTATGGGAACTGTTTATGACGATTAGATGAAGATATCTGCAATCATAAAATGCTATGGGAAGGGAGGATAACGGGTCCGCGACGTAGGAAGTGATGAAGGAAGTAGTCAAGGCAAGCTGTCCGGAGTGTGGGAACTGTTTATAACGATTAGATTAAGGTATCTGCAATCATAAAATGCTATGGAAAGGGAGGGAAACAGGTCCGTGCCGTAGGAAGTGGCGAAGGAAGTAGTAAAGGCGAGCAGTCCGGAGTGTTGGAACTGTTTATGACGATTAGATTAAGGTATCTGCAATCATAAAATGCTATGGGAAGGGAGGATAACAGGTCCGCGACGTAGGAAGTGATGAAGGAAGTAGTCAAGGCAAGCTGTCCGGAGTGTGGGAACTGCTTATGACCATTATATTAAGGTATCTGCAGTCCTATGATGCTATGGGAAGGGAGGGAAACAGGTCCGTCACGTAGGAAGTGGTGAAGGAAGTAGTAAAGGCGAGGAGTCCGGAGTGTGGGAACTGTTTATGACTATTAGATGAAGACATCTGCAATCATAAAATGCTATGGGAAGGGAGGATAACGGGTCCGCGACGTAGGAAGTGATGAAGGAAGTAGTCAAAGCAAGCTGTCCGGAGTGTGGGAACTGTTTATAACGATTAGATTAAGGTATCTGCAATCATAAAATGCTACGGAAAGGGAGGGAAACAGGTCTATGACGTAGGAAATGGTGAAGGAAGTGGTAAGGCTTGCAGTGCAGAGTGTGGGAACTGTCTTTGGCAATTACATTAATATATCTGCAATCCTAAAATGTTATGGGAAGAGAGGGAAATATGTCCAATACGTAGGGGGTGGTGAAGGAAGTAGTAAAGGTGAGCGTGTTGAATGTGGGAATGGATTAATGTATCTGCAAAGCTAAAACGCTTTGGGACGAGACTGTAGACTGTAGGTTAAAATAATTTCGAAGCACGAATCGATACATATTTCGATACATGCAATCGTTTATAATAGAAATTTACAACTGAGTTGACAACGGCTGATTTTTACTCCATATAGGATAAACACTATTTTTACTCCATAGAGGATAAAAACTTTTTTACTTCCTAAAGAGTAAAATTGCTACTTTAGACCCGCAACGCATGCATTAAAAACGGCTAGTATTACTGCAGTAAGACCAAAACAATATAATATAAACCCTTGATGACTCCGCTCAATTTTGTGGATGCCTCTGCGCCACCTAGTATTTTTACAAACAAACATTAGATTAAATGTAGTTCTTGGTCCTTTGTTCACGTAAAATAAAAATTACATAAATTATGTCCAATGGTTGAATTCAGTTTTCAATAATTAAAAAAAATTTCATTTGTTTAATGTAAAAACTATGACGAATCAATAAATGTCATACAATTGAAAAATTATATTTATGTAATTTACGTAATATCTTATCGACAAATTTTATCTTTGCTGCAATATTTTTTTTTTGAATCCTGTCTCACTCATAAACAAAAGTAATATTTAAAGAAACACTATTAAATAGTTTTTATTCTACGGTCCAGACTTCACATTTACCTTTTATTTATTTTCTATTTGCGGTTAAAATTATTTACTGTAATTTCTAACCTTGTTTCTCACGAGATTAATTTTTTTAAGAAGTCAGAATGATATAATGTTACAAGCAATGCAAGTAGTAAAATATTCTCTAAACTTGCGGAATTCACAATCTCTGTAGGAATGGATTTTGTGAGAAACATTCTTGTGACAGTTAAATGTTCTTCCTACAATTATATTCATTCTACGTTGGCAGCATTTCCGCCAACCCAGTGAAATTCCTGAGTTCTAGCAACTAAGAGTTCCGAGTTGATAATGTTACCAATAATGTACCATAGAGTTTGTTCTTGTAAATAGTACTAAATGTACACTTTTTTCAATTTGATGTATTTTTGAGTTATTTTTTTATTAGATTATTTTTATTAGTTTACTGTGGTATTTTTATTCCTCAGTAGCAAATTATTATGTAGAATAATTTTGTTTATTTGTAATTACTGTATCGCAATATAATTTTCATAAATTTTATAGAAAAAAAGATACAATTTACAGATTTATTTAAATAAATATCTATATATTAAAAAAATAATTCCTTTAAGAGTTTTAGCTGTTTTTTAGCCAGACATAAAGGATAGTTTGTTGTTTCTATGACCTTTGTTTAAATTAGCCCTTTGTCAAGTAATAGATAATAAATAAATCAATACTTAGATAGTAATCAATTTTTTTTAATATTTGTCCAAACAATATTAAAATAGGTCTATTATGTAAATATTATTTTTTAATTATTCAAAATGAATTCCTTCAAGAATTGTAATTGTTGCCAGCTAGAAGTAACAATCAGTGGTTAGTTGGCGTAATACTGAATATTTACTATTTTTTGTTTGCTGTTATTTATGTTAAAACATATGTGTTACTTAATAAATAGCTTAAAAGACAATTCGGGAAAGAGGAAAGATGGTTTACAATTAATTATTTCCTTGGCTATTTACCTAAGTCTGAATGTTATTGAAGATTGTCATTAAGAATTTTCCTAAGTTTGAATAAATATCGGTTACAAGTGTTTTCCTGATCAACTTTATAAGTCTAAAGTGTCGATTAAAGTGAATGTCCTAATAAGTTTAGTTTATAAAAAAATGGTAGTTCCGCTTTCATAAATATTTTCATTGACCTTTAAAACAGAAAAAAAAGTTTTAACTACGTATATTCATATGAAGTTGAACAGAGTTTGACAAAAGACTGGCGAAATCTGGATAAAAGCTGCTATTTTCTGTATTGTACAATGTAGATCATCAGAAATACAGCTAAGAGGAATGGGATGGGTGAGTCATTGTGAATAACACTGAACTGAAAAATATCACTCTTTCTTTCTCTAGCTCTTTCTTTTTCTCTGACACTTGTATTGTTGAGACATTTTTTTATTTTACTTTTTCTAGCTATGTTGAAAAAAATCATATTACCAGCCCACTAATTTGTATTAAAAGTTTTCTATGCAAGTGTACAACTTTGGAAAGTCCAAACAAAAATAATGGTCGTAAATTAAAGTTTTTAATTTAAGTAGGCTACTATGAAAAGTTTTTCAGGTATTTTGATACTGTATTTTATTGGTTAAATCTATTTTAAATGTTAGTAATTATATTTCCTGATTTATCAACGCAAATTTTTACTTTCTTTAGGTTATGAAACTGGTTGCACACAAATGTTTTAAGTTCTATTTTTTTTTTTTTTTCAAAAATACTTTGAAAATGTTATAATTAATCTATTTGTTAAAAAAATTTTGAAAATTGCTATAAGCTTTAAAATTGTTGAATATAGAACGAATCAAGCGACTTTAGAGAAATTACCTCTTGGTCAGATAATATAGTCTGTTATCATCACACTGGAGTATGCCAAATTGTCTCACTTGTAAGATGTAATAATCTACAACTGTGGGATTTGCTATGTTAATTGATGTTCAGTGTAAGTTGGTACTTTATAGGTGTCACTTGAATGTAGACGTCTAAAGAATGTAAGTAATGGTGGTAATTTATCAAGGGCATTTAGATAGCTAGGTATAATATTTTTATGATGTCTAAAGCGTCATCCAATACTTCTTACAGATAGTGTACTTTTTTCTTTAGGACACCAGGCTCTAGCCCTGGTTCGTTTTCTACATTTCGTCAAGCTGGGCCTAGTGGTTGCGGCATTATCACTTAGATAAAATTTACTAGTTATTTGGCAGGATTTGAACAATGGACCTCCGGGACTGAAGTCCTGCACTCTACCCCTAGACCAGCTCGCTACCCAAGCATACTCTGAGTTGAATACTATTTTTTGTCGTGCACCTGAGTGTCCTAACAAAATGTCTTGTTTCTTTTCTTCGTTTTTGATTTTTTTCATTTTATCAACTGTGAATTTGTCATTATTTAGCCCAGCTGTTCAACAGTCATATCATTTAGCTGGGACCACTTTAGATTGTTGTATTCAGCTTCATTCATCCATCAAAATCCTCTTTTCCTCCTGATTTTTAACGATCTTTCTTTTTCCGCAGGTGGATCTTGAGAGATGTCTCACCACAGTGACGACACGATGCTCATCGCAACCAGCGACTCCTTCTGGGAGCCGAACAACTTCAAGCGAACTACCAAACGGATAGAAGACGGATATAAGCTATGCAACGATCTCATGGCTCTGGTACAGGAGCGAGCAGACATTGAGAAGGCCTACGCGAAGAACCTCAAGGGGTGGGCGAAGAAGTGGAACGAAATCATCGAAAAAGGTCAGTTAACAAGTGAACAAGTCTATTAGTGTGGCCGTTACGAAACGTTTGATGTTTGTTGAAATGGTTTAAAAATGTTTTTGAAGTGTAATAACAGTTTGGATCCATGAGACGCTAGAGGAAGGCAGATTAAAATTTGAGAAATAAAATTGATTTTTTTTTACTTTTGAGTGATGGTCACGATCCGTTTTACTGTACTCTTGTAAAAGGGAAAAATAAACCTTTAGATTAAATAAGGGTTAAGTAAGAAGTGGAACAAAGTTATCAAGGTCAGTTCTTTTTTAAGTATTAATTTTGATTGATTACAGATCAAAGAAATTTTCTATTTATTTGATTGATGGATAAATGTTGGATCTACAGTTCTACACCCTTTTAAATAAAAATTTATGTTCTTGCAATGCTAGATCATGCAGATGAAATTTTAAGGAAAAAAATAATATAAGGCCCGCTGCACATTGAAGCGAGGCCAGGAGCAGGCGAGGTGCAGGCTAGGTGCAGGTGGGAGCGGGGACTTTTTCGTGTCACCGCACATTGAAGCGAGGCGGGACAGAGGTTTCCTAGCTTTGGTCCTACTGTCGCGAGTAGAGAAATATTCTTTGGACCTTATTCATTCTAATTATGAGTTTAATAATTTAGTTTAACTCTAATCGCTATCCAAAAAACTTAAAAAACGTTTTTGAAAACGTGATTACACGAAAAAAGATTAAGCCATGGGGAGTATGTTTTAACTACTGAACTGCCAGACCGGTCTTTTAGAGAATATTTTCGTGTGAACAAATAACAGTTTAATGATATCCATAACTTGATTAAAAGGGGCATTAGTGGAAAGGAATGCAAAGCTCAAAAACATATAGCCATCTGAATTAATGCTCCGTTTCTATATCATTCACTCACAAAACACTTGAAACCCAACACTGGCGCGAGCGAGGTGCAGGAAAACTGTATTCCAACTACAACGCCACGGAGGCCTGACAGAGGCTGCAGCTGTTCTGCGCGGAGGCTGCGCGCAGCCTCTGCTCAATGTGCGGTGCTCCATTTAAACATGTGTATTACAGAATAGCCGCGCCTCGCCTGCACCTCGCCTGCACCTAGCCTGCACCTCGCCTTGCTCCAATGTGCGGCGGGCCTAAGTTTTTTTCTTTTCAAAATTCACGAGCATTTTAATCAGAAAAATGAATTTTTGCCACAACACAACTAAAAACTTTAACTGTCAAATGTGATTTTAATTTTTAACATTCAAATTTTCATAGTCTAGTAACATTAACTTTTGAGCAGCTAAGGAAACTTTTCATTATTAAAACTTTTCATTATAGTATAAAACTCTGACACAAGAACAACTTTAAAAAAATTGTCTTTAAATTGTTTTAAAATCAAACTAAATTTATAACAAATTCTCTTACTTAATGTTGTGAACTAGTTTTTGGATAACTAGAACTAGATAAATCAAGTTAAACAATGTGACAGGGTATCTAATTTTTTGATTGTTTAATTTTTGCCCATAATCGCAGAATCTTGTGAGTATTGGATATTTTATGCCTGTAATAACATAGCGAAGTTGAATTGGCATGTAAATCATTCATCAGCAGAAATTGAATTTCATCCAATCAACACGCATTCAGTTCATTCATCTATATTTCATCCTTCATTTTCTAACAAATCCAGCATGATGCATTTTTAAGTGTTTGACTCTTGAGGCATGATTGTATTATTTTTAATTATTTGAACGAATTAAATCTATAGTATTTTATTAGTGCTAAGCTATAATTGCTATGCTTAAAAAAAATACATTCCATTTCACTAGTTTTTTTAAATTTTTTTATTGTTGAAACCTAAATTTTGTCGACATTTTGTGAAAAATTTTAATATTGTGGGATTTTCAAAATGTTACTCTTTGTGTTTGAGAAATACTGTTTTGTAGAGTTTTTTTTTACATATAAAACTCTTTTTAATCAGATTTTGGGGACTAAAAATCAGTTTTAAATAATTTAGTAATATTTTTACAGATGCTCGTCTATATTATTTTGTTATTGAATATGTTATTTTACTTAACTGCATAGTTTTCATTTTCAAATTTCAAATTAAATATTTGATTTAAAGTATTATAAAAATTACTTTTTACTAAAGCCAGTTTAAAACTTTTAATTGTTTGTCCAAAAAAAGGCATTTATAAATTAAAATATTTATTTACATATTTATCTAATCAAAATTTGTTATATATAAATAAACTAGATGCAAGGTGAAATAAATAAATCACAACTTCAAAGAGGTTATTTTTAAAGCCATTATAATTAGCCAAGTGGGTTTTTATAACAATGACTACTTCAGTATGACCTTGAGACATTGTTAGTACATTGTGTTAATGGAGACAAACTAACAGTAAGCGTAATCAAAATCGTAGACTACAAAAATTGCTTCTGAACAAGACAACTTTTGGCTATGAATAAGTTAAAAACTGCTGCCAAACGCTACTGAACTTTTTGCATACTCCTAAAGTTGACTTTGCAATGTCTGCTTTTTACCGTTTTGGAACCTAAAATTTTTAATATATTTGACACAGTGAATAAACTCTAAGTATTTTGCAATTAATTTGTCACTCTAAAAACACTGACTGTGGATACTGCAAGTAAACTTGTTATTCTATTATAAAATCATAAATCTGTTGTAGTGAGCGATTTATGTCTCGTTACACATGAACACGCTGATGTAGACTAAATTAGTGTGTGCTTTACTCATCGCTAATATGTACAGTATAAGGTTAAATTACCTTGTGCATATTAAAGTGATTCAAATTTTTGTCAACAATAAAGATCCTTTGAGTGGTTAAACTTGATTTCTTTTGATAAAATAACAAGAAATAAAAAAAAACTTAGGTAAACAAAATATACACATACTCAACAAAATATATCTTAAAATTGACCTATTACCATGATAAATCATTCGGAAGTATTTGTTATGGATTATTGCCTTAAAAAAAAATCTAATTTGTTGTAATTCTGATATTAGCAATGATTTTTATCATAGGGGCTTGTTTTTAATGTCTCATTTAATTGGTACTTACTTAGTAAAACTTTTAACTTTCTAATGCGATAGTTTTTTTTAAATGCATGTTTTTAAAATAAAACTTGTTTTTCAAATGCATTGTAGAATTTGGACGGTTTGACTTTTGGATGTGCTTTGTCAAAATACTAATTGCGATAGAATATATTATTAACTTTGTACTTTACTTGTTGCATTTTTCAGTTTGAAAACAGTTAGAACTTTTAAGGAGTAAACTTATATCAGAATTTGCAAATCTTTCCATCTATTGCAATACTTATTTCAATTTTACAGTGCTCTTTGAGTTTTTTCAATCGTATTGTTTGACAGGTCCTGAAGAACATTGCCTACCTTGTCAGATTTCTGATAGTGAGTTATTTGGTTTCTGATTGTGCTATGTTTCCAGCAAAAGACGGTTAGCTAGGTCAAACATTGGTGCAGGGGCTGCATATGATTTTGCACTTTTCACAAAATCCTTTCCCCATATTCCTATCAGGATCATTAAATGATCTCCCTCAAAAGCTGTGTATAGGCCTGTTGAATGATTTGTAATCCAAGCTTTTTTGGTTACATAGACACATATCCTACACATACAGGGTGGTAAAAAAGTCCCTGGACAGTTAAATATTTTAAAAAATGATGCAGATAGAGCTACAATACTTGGTACAAAGTTACAGGGCATAAAACTCTATTTTAACACATATTCAGTGATCCAATAACTCTTCAGGGGGACGGCCCACAAGGAGTCGGAAGAAAATCTTAAATGTAAGCATAGGGCAATATGCACATCAAATTAAAGGTCTTTTTTAGTAGAATACAATGCCGCAAACCGCACTTCAAAAGGTTGATCCTGCGCAAAATGGCAGATGTTCAAAGATTTCTTGAATCCGCCATTTTGAATCTTTGAACGACTGCCATTTTTTACTCAGGCATTGTTTTGAGCTTGAATTTACGGCATCGAAATCTACTAGTGAAGACCTTTAATTTGATGTGCATATCGACCTATGCTTACGTTAACAATTTTCTTCCGATTCCTGCCCCCTGAGGAGTAAGCGTATAATAGCAATGTAAATTAAATGAATCTTTAAACAACTGTCATTTTGCGCAGGATCAACCTTTTGAAGTGCGGTTTGCGGCATTGTATTCTACTAAAAAAGACCTTTAATTTGATGTGCATATTGCCCTATGCTTACATTTAAGATTTTCTTCCGACTCCTTGTGGGCCGTCCCCCTGAAGAGTTATTGGATCACTGAATATGTGTTAAAATAGAGTTTTATGCCCTGTAACTTTGTACCAAGTATTGTAGCTCTATCTGCATCATTTTTTAAAATATTTAACTGTCCAGGGACTTTTTTACCACCCTGTATATACATATCCTTCTTCAACTAGAAAAGGCAGGCTTCCAGTGAAAGATACTGTTAAGTTTTGGTCTGAGGTAAACCCGCCTTGCAAAAATACTTGCTGAGGTTTTTGATGCTTCACATTGTTTCATTTTCAAGGCACAACTAAAATGAAGAAGAATTGAATTCTTTATTGTTCTGCAGTTCTTCAATTTAATGGTAGCTTTTCCTGAAGAACGATTTGTAAAAGCATCCGAAAAGTCGGCCAGTATTTCTGTCAGTTCAATCGGTCTTGTCCCGAAGACTAAATTCCGACAATATTTTCTTCAATTCTTAGGTATTGACTAGTTGACTAGCTCTTTCAATCTTCCCCTATTCCTTCAAAGTTAATTTTCCTCAACCATCTTCCATCACACAATTCTCTTCTCCTCGTCCCTTTTCATCTTATCCAGCCACATTCTTCTGCACCTTTGCCCTGTATCACCATCTACTCCATTCCTTGGAATTTCCTCTTCACATTCTTCCCACATATCCAAACCATGATATAATTACTCTACTCTCCCTCGTACGATTATCATCAACTACTTCTCTTCTGGTTTTTTAAATCCTCTAATTCTCAAATGGCAAGCACCTATGAAGAGGATTAAAATATTGCAGTGAAAAATACCAATTTTGGATATACATGCCCATCTTGCACAAATGCTATATAGAAAATAGTGCTTCACAAGCAATTTAGACTAGACAGTGTGATTTGTCAATGAGACACTAGAGTAGACTGGAAATGGTTTGATCAAAGTTGATGCAATGTTGACAAATTTCTATTGGATATTCTAAGAATTACATTTACAATATCTTTGGTTGAGTTATCTGCAGCAAAGTGCATTTTTGAAAATTACTTGTAAGAAAAGACAAGTCACTGATTAAAAACAACTTTGATATTTTCTGTTGAATATGCTTCCCAAATTGTTTGTACCAATAGAAGCTTTTTGATTTTATATTGTCAAATACCTAATTGTTTCGCTTCATGATTGCCCCATATTACCTTTATTGAGTGGTAATTTTATGGGGCTGTTAAGTGTGAGCATTTGCTAAAGGTCAAAGTGTACTAAAATTGTGAAGATAGTTTGATTTATGCAGCCAGGGAAGAGTGTGACCAGGCCATATGATGTAATCTTTTATGGTACAGAAGACTGAGGCAGGCAGTAACTGTTCATTTTACTGCAGTATGTGAAGACATTCAGGATACTTTATATTGTAGTATGGTCGGTTTATAGTATAGGCTAATATTTTTTCAATTTCATGGGTTTTTCGTACATTGTAACATGTACAATGGATTGGAAAAATCATAAAATTTGTGTCAGTAAAAGCATGAAGTTGACAAACTTAGGCACAACTGAAAAGGCTCCTATGTCAGTTTAAATCAGTTTATATTGTCCTATAATACATAGCACATGATTTGTATTTGTCATTAAAACTAAAAAGTTTAAAAGACGCTAAGTGATTGAATCATTTATTGAGTTTATATTTGCGATGCGATTGGTTGAAGGTTTGAAGGGTTGATTCGATCAACCTGGTATACAGTCATAATTATTACCTCAAAGTTCCGGGTTCAAATCAGGCCATTCACCAATGGATTCTAAGTGATACTGCTGCAACCTCCTCTAGACCCAGCCTAAAGTAATGTGAAAAAATTGGGCTAGAATCAATGAAAGAACAAGCATAAACAACCTAAGTCAAATTTTCAAAACTTTCTACTGCTAAATACAATTGTAAATGTCTCATCACTTTTGAAAGTCCTTGGAGCCTAGACATTCTAACTCATAAAACAATTCAAACAACTGCAATGAAAATTTCTAATTTTACAGTACTTGCACTAGATATTTAAATTACTCTTGTGTTTGAAAAAAATATTTCAAGATGGTAAATAACTCCTCAGCAGTTGTTTGAAATTAATAACACTGCTCTTATGGCGGGCAAATCCAAGATGGCTGTTAGCTTCCATGGACTCCCATTTGAGAAAACAATTCAAAACTAAAAAGAAAATTTCACAAATCTCAGTGTCCTAGATGTTTAAATTTTAATCACTTTGGTGTTAAAAAAATATTTTTCATGATAAACAACTCTTCAGCAGCTGTTTGAAATAATCAAAGATAGCCGCTAGCTTACAAGGACTCTTAACATTGCCAAACCTTATAAAATTACATAGTCTGCTAGTTAGTCAGTAGTAATGCACAGGTGCAGTTGCATCGTTGCATCGCCTCAGTCAGGTAGAAAGCCTGTCGCAGACAGCCGCTGATGGAAAGTGACCTCCGTAACCCTCCTGAATCATTGATCAGGCAAACTCTCCTCGGAAAGTTGGCTGTCTACTCTTTCTTATCGATTGTGTTGTCTCTGATCGCGCAATTTTTTCTGACTATGCGGCCTGACACATTTCTTTGTGTTGATAAATTTGTGATTAAATATTTTACATTGGTGGAAGGACATTTTTTTTTACTTTGATAATAATTAATTAGGCTTCTCTAAATTAGGGTGCTTTATTTTTATTTTATTTTTTGTGCTGTAGATAATTTTTGCTAAAAGATTCTGTGTTTTGAAATGGGGTGAACAGGTGGAAGAAAATAATATGGTTCTTCAAGATTACTGTAGAAATCAGTTACACACCCACACCTGATTATTATCCATTGTAGTTTTTGTTTGCAATGAATACAAATCAATCTTTAATTTATTTCTAAAGTAATTTTAAAATATGTAAAGGTAAATTACCCACCCTATGTGTAGAGTAACTTTTCTTTCATTAAAAACAAACACACAATAGAAGAGACAGTTTCTTCTTTCACAATATTGTATAATTTCTAGCGATGTAGGTTAATGAGTCAAAATTTTCAGGTTGTTATAAATTCATGAATTTGGTTGGAAAACAACTGACGAAAACAGGTCAAAGTCAAATATTTTTAAAGTGAACCCTCAACCATGTTTTATTGTCCCAATGTGGTATGGTGGTGGTTAGACCAAACAAGACTGTAAAGTTAAACTCAAACACTATTCATGTTTGTTTGACACAAAGCATGAATGAATGAGTCCTGCAAAATGCAGTTTGGTTTCACCATGCATTTAAAACATTCACAAGTGTTTTTCAGAGTCGAGTTGCATTTGAAAGCATGTACATGCTTTTAAAATGTTTAAACACAGGGTTTGAAATTGAGGTTGATTGCTTTTAAGAATGTGTAAAAAGCTTGTGTTAAATAGTTATATTGGAATTTCAATATAAACTGAAGATAAAGGGGTGTAATTATTGTACTTTAAACAAAATTGTTTGTAATTATTTTTATTTTAGATGTTTTGTTTATTAGGTGTAATTTTTGGGGTAAATCATTTTATTGGGAAGTTGACTATTGGTGTTGCCATTGTGTGGGACCATCATAACTTTTCATTTAGAAGCCTTGGGAGCCAAATATATATTTATTTATTGAAAGCATTTTCTCTTGTTATTTTTATTGTTTTTGTCATTGTTTGCCTAAAGCAGGCTCTGTACAGTAGTGGACATTACGGTTTTTCTTTCAGAAGCGTAATCTGGGTTTGTGCTTTGAAGGAGGAGTTTGTCTTAACAGCCATTAACAGCCTTAGACAATTTAACATCCTATTTTTGTCCTTAGTCATTTAAAAATAAAGTTTACTAAATAGTTAAATTCATACATTTCATCACACAAATGGCCAAGCATAATTGCAGATTTTGACCAAGTGCTGATTTGTAACTCTGTGTAGGGCCTGAGTATGGTACGACGGAAGCTGCTTGGAAAGGTGTGTTGGTAGAGGCAGACAGACTATGTGAACTTCACCTCAAAGTTAAAGACAACTTGGTCAACGACGCGATACAACAGGTCAAGACCTGGCAGAAAGATACATACCACAAGGTAAGTGGATTAGCTAAAAGAATTTAGTTATCAAATTTCCAAAGGCTGAGGGTTACAAAGATTGTTTTTTAAATACGGGCAATTTTTGCGTATAGCTCAGTAGTCTGCGTCTATACCGCAACAAGGCTCTCCGCCGCTTACTGGCATCATTTGTGAACAGAATTACACCATTTGCAATTCTGTAGCTGATGTATAAGCTTCGCTGTGTGTTTTTAAAAATTTTAAAACTATTGAATCTTTTGCCGAAAGCGAGATAAGGTTTTTTTCAAGAAACATATGCAATGCCAACACCATCGTCAGATGATTAAGTTTTTCGTCCTAATGCAATGAGTGAGGGTAAAGTGCAGAAATAGGTATGGAGTGTAAAAATAGCAATGAAAACCTTTTCGTGTACTTACCAAAAACACAATATGTTCCGAAATGAACATTTTCACGGCCATTTTTAAACTCCCTTGCCCATTTCTGCACTACCTCACTACTAGGGCCCTAACCTTCAGTTATTTGGCGATGAATGTCAGCATCAGATATGTTCCTTGTGGTAAAAAACGTACTGACCTTATCTCGCAAATATCGGGAGATTCAATAATTTAAAAAAATTTTAAAACACACAGCGAAGCAAACACGACAGCTACAAAGCTGCAAACGGTGTCATTCTTTAAAAAAATAAAGCCTGTATGCAGTGAGGAGCCTAACTACGGAGCCATACACTAAAACAGCCCTTGCTTAAATAATTACCCTCGTATATTAGTGGTTTACATACCTTAATGTCAAAAATCCTTAAAGCAACTCATCAGCTACTTTCAATTAAACTTTATGTCATTGTTGCACCGAATAAAAAACATTCTTCATATTTTCCAATGAACGTTGTCAAATTAGTAACAGAGTTAAAAAACAAATTTATAAACTTACATATACTTATTACTACATATTATTAGTGTTCAACATTGGAAACTAACCTCAAAACGGGAAAATAAGTTATCCTACTACTGCATAGAAATGATCCCATTGCTATACCTGTAAACAGTATGCGAAGTATCTCATTGCCGCTTGCTAATCAGCTGATTTCCCAGTAGACGTTTCTAGACCAATCAAAGCCACGGATCGGGAACCTTATTTAACAACCGGTAAGCAAATAACATAACCTTGAAAAAGCAAACATAACCTAAATGACATTTTACAAACATCTAAAAAGTTAATCTGTGTGTAATTTATAGGTTAATTATGGTGGTAGGAAAAATCTGGTGTTTGTTTATTATGAACTCAAACAGTCATTGCCGCTCTAAAATGTGTGGCGACACTCAGCTAAAGCTTTTTGCGGCCATCTACAGTTCTCGAGCGGCAATGACGTACTTCACGCTCTTGATACACAAAAAGCTATTTCTTCAAACGAGCCAGTACCTATACAATAAATGTTATAATATGTGTGTATGTTTTTAGTTACGCTGATTTTAATTTGATACGACGTAAACTAAACATAAATTAAATTTATTCTCTCAGTTTTTATTTTTTTATCTTCTCTCTAACCCAAAATTTATAAAACTGTACACACTTCTAATAAGCGTTGTTGTGTTTATCCTTAACTGTATAAGAATTTAAAAACATCAATTCATCTTCATCACTCAATTTTCTTGTTTCAGTCAATGATACAAATCAAAGAACGCAAAGAGATGGAGGATGCGTTCAAGAAGGCGCAGAAACCGTGGGCGAAGCTGCTACAGAAAGTGAACAAGGCCAAGTCTGACTACCACACGGCCTGTAAACAGGAGAAGTCTGCGTCCAATCAGGAGCGGAACGCCACAGGAGACAGCTCCTTTTCCATGGACCAGGTACAGGCACGTACCAAACACTATATACTCTATGTGTTTGTGTGTTCCTTATATTTTTTTTACGCTTTGTTGCTTTTTGAAAGTCTTTGTTTTACTGTGTTCAGTGTATCCGCAAGACCAAAATCGTCCTTACCTGGTCGAGAAAATCCCGTTTTATCCTTCCTTATACAAAGAAAAATACCTTTTTATCCTGTATATATTTCCCTGTTCTTTACAGAGTCAACTTTTTGCCATTTTTTCTCAAATAGCTCTTTGATACTTGCTATTAATACTGTGATGGAATGATTTATTCATTTGAGGTTAGTTTTTATTTCAAAAGCAGTTCTAAAATCCTACGTATACAGACTAATTTTTTGTTTCTTATGTGTGCTAAAAATTATGTCCCACCATCACATCTTTGGGCACTAGGTTCTAGCCCGGAATAATTTTTAACATCACTTTAGGCTTGGCCTAGAGGTTGCGGCATTATTGCATGCATAACTTGCACATCCTACTTGCTTTTTTTACATTTTGTGAAGCGAGTGGTTTTGTTTTCTTACAACACTGTTTTAATTAAACCAAGGAGACTACAAAAATCAGCTATTACTGTTCATTCTAAAATCAATTAAATATCTCTTTGTTTTTTTAGACAATGGTTAGCGTATATGGAACAAGCTAAAAGAACAGTTAGGCCTATGTCATAGACAAATAGAAATATAGATCGACAGCAGTGCTGCGGTTAGCACCGCAAGGACTGCCGTGTAGTTACGTAGCACGTGTGTGTTAACTACACGGCACTCCTTGCGGTGGACGCCAGAACTTATGTTAACCGCAGCACTGCTGTCGATCTATATTCAATTCTATTTGCCTATGGTTACGTATAGTATTTTGCTCATGTATGATTTTACATAGATAAAATTTGTGTCCTGATCAGTAATAGGACTTGCTCTTCCAACCAAAGGTAATAACTATTGCATTATTTTTGCTTTGTGTGATATTTACACAATGAACTGCAGGTAGAGGCCTGTTAAAAACATGTCAAATTTTTGGGAAATGTATATAAACTAACTTTTTGTTTTTGCTTCTCTACAGTGTCCTATGACGTATGATTTTTTCCCCCTATTGATAAAACAAAATGTGGGTAAGTGTTTTAACTATATAAACATTTAAGCGTATCGTTTACAAATTAAATCATCATATGGGAACAGTATTTTCATATGTGCATGAGCGCCTCATCATACTCGTATTATGTAGCCTTCTAAGTTAGCCTAACTTAGAAAAAAAATTATCTAACTAAGTGTAGAAACATACAGACAGCGTAGCGTAGCGCAACGTAGCGCAGCGCAGCGTAGCGTAGCCGAGCGCAGCTTTGTCCAATACACACAGAGAGCGCAGCGTAGCGTAGCGCATTATAGGTTGTAGACGGTCTTAAAGGTACATCAGTCAGTATAGAGGATGGCTCTTTCAAAGACGACTCGTATAAGTTTTGTTGAATATACCTTAAGGTAGCAGTTTTTGATCAGTAGAAGTGTCGGGGTGCACAAAGTTTGTAAAGGCAGGGACAAACATGGTGAATACATCTTATTTCTAATCCTTAGGAAACACGAGTCTCGGTTTAAGAATTACACAAGAAGGTCGACTACAACGTTCGATTACATATTTAGTTTGGTGAAGGATGATTGAGAGAAGCCAAGATTGGGAGGAGACCAATTGGTGCAGAAAAGAGACTAGTATTGACTTTATCTACTTTTATTCATACTATTACCAGCTTAAATATACTTTTTAAGTAAAAAAATAAGTAATGTTTTGACGAAAACCATTGATAAAGAAAATTTAGGATGGTGCAACTTTGTATGAAAATACCCCCACCTCAGCAAACCTGCAGACTAAGCAAATTTCCATTTGACCGATTAGATTTTTAATTAAATCTATTTAAATAACATTATGCCAAACAAGTACCTAGGTTTGCTGCTACAGGGAGGGCAACGAAGTAGGTTTTTAGTAAAATATCAATAGCTTAGTATAAATTAAGTTGATTTGCCAAGTTTGATGAAAATATATCCGTAAACAAGTAAACTACAACAGCTAACTTATTCTCATTCTCTTTAAGAATAACATGGGAATTTTAAATTTATAACTTTTTGAATTTTCTTTGTAACCAATAACCTTACAAAAACACTTTAATATACTATAAAATTTGATTATTTAACCTTTTTAAAATGGTTTGGAGATGAATTAGAAATGTTTGTTTTTTGAGGGTCAAAAATGAGAAAATTAAATTTTTACCCCATACAACCCCCATAAACACCCGTTCCCATGGTCCGATCATGCTGGTTTGCCAACTCATTCAAGATTGTCCCATCTCACACCTTCAAGCCAAATTTAATCAAAATCGGACCAAAATTACTCAAGTTATCACGTTCACGGACACGTCTTAAAAAGTCGCGCCCCTCCCCCCCTTAATTTCGGTAAAACAGGGGAAGCACTTAGGGGACGGGCGGGGACTTTTAGGGTGTGATTTTACATACCATAACGGACATATGTGGAAAAATTAGCTTTATATCTCTCATTTCCGGGTAAAAACCTAGATTGACTGGGCTATTAAGCGTGTCTGCAGTCGAATGCGCTCCAATACGCTCTGAGAAAAACAAAATAGTTTGTTCCTCGGTCGTACGCTGCGCTGCGCTGCGCTACGCTACGCCGAAATACGCTACTAGTATGTCATACCTCATTTCAATGCACGGGTTTGATTTAAAACATGCGCTGCGCTACGCTACGCTGTCTGTATGTTTTTACACTAAGTAGTCAAATTGAATTTATTTTTTGAAAACAGATGCAAATGTATAGGCTAACTATTTTACACAACAGATTTACACACAAATTTTCTTTTCAGCATGCTCTCTGTTGCAAAACACGGATATTAGCTAGTTATTATTAATAATAGTCATTAAAAATAATACAATTACAGGTTGGTCCAAAATATAAATATTCACCACCCTTAAGGCAGTTTTGGTAGTATAAGTGTAATCCTACCATAAACTGAAATTCTGAAATTAACTTGAGTTTGCATCATCATTCAAAAGAAAGCAGTCTTTCATGTTTAAGTAATTAAAACTCTTAATTAACTAGAGTCATTCCACATTTCTCTCTTTATGAATGATAATGTCACCTTTACTTTTTATCAAAAGTAAGTTAATGAGATTCTATTTTAGTTTTTTTAATTAATTTTCTGAGAATTACTCGTTATTAGTATAATTTTCTTTTTTTTCTGTAAAAAAAAGCTCAATGTTCAGTTGTTGTTAAAGAAGTAGTTTAAAACATATTTAAAACTAAAATATAACACTGAGTTGTTTTAATATACTCTACACCAGCCTATTTAATTATTTAAAATCTTTCTTGGTTTTACCTTGGTTCAGAAATTTTTTTATTTTTCATGTCATATTCTTTTTTTTACATCCAGAAAAGTTTCAGGGTGTAAGCAGTCCCACCCCTCTCCTGCCCAAAAGTTCCTCGAAATCTTATTCTTGCTCCTTAAGTAAAAAGGTGAGCGTTGTCAATTCCTTGTTTTGCTTTTGTTTGTTGCGATATATTTGCTTAGTTAATTGTGTTTGTGTAGTGAATTTTAATTGTAGGTAATGATGAACAGTAGATAATTAGTAGTTTATGCTTGTCTTCCTATCAATTTGGTTTGATTTTTATTTACTAACTAGATTATACATTGAAATTAACATATATTATTTTAAAAGGAGGAATTTATTTATATTCTATTGATTGTAGAATCATGATAGTCATGATACTATAACAATGTCGTTGTAGGTTACATAAGAAAGAGACAAAATTTATGTCAGAAAAACACAATTTTGTACAGGGTTGGGAAAAACCCTCAGGAAAACCAAACTCTGCACACCTCTATGTAGCACAAAAGTACACTTTTGTTAGTATCCCTATTTTTTCTGGATGTTAAATGTAAATCCCCATCAAGTAACACCTCATTTTAAAGGTCACCAGTTAAAAAGAATGTCAGCAAAAACCAGAGATCCCTATCTCAACCCAGTACAAAATAGCTTTTTTTCTTAATTACTAAAAAAAATTAAGAAAAAAAGGATAATCTATGCATAATACCGATAAATTGTTCATATCAATATCATCGAAAAGTCACAAATTGTTTTTCAAGGGCACTGATATAATTTCTTTTAAAGCAAATTACACTAAAGCACTTTTGCTCTACATTTATAATACTTTTTATATCTATTACAATTTTAAAATAAATATAAATAGAGAGAGTTGTATATTTATAATTACTCTAATTTCGAAGCAGAATTTCACAAGTCCTTCAACAATAGAAAGTAGGCCACAATGAAATCATTGTCTCCAAGTCATGTCGTCTTATCAATTAGTAATAATTGTTATCTCAAGATATTTCTCTTATCAGTGTTACAACACCTAAATAACTTACATCATGACTTCAAGGTGTGACTTGCTCGACTTAGTAAAAACAACTTTTACTGCCAAATGATTTGATAAACCTATTTTAGTAGAAATTATGGACTATTTTCAACTCTATTAACTGTCACCCTAGTAGACTGAAATGTGATGGTGAATCGATAGTAAGCAGAAAGTTCTTTAAATTGCTAGACTTAGAAAAATTAATAATTATTAACAGAAATAAAATAGTGTACATCTAAACAATATCATGGTATGTTTCTGTATATTAATTAAGTGACAACAGAAATTTACGATTAAAAAACTGAAAGTGTATTGATGTTACACTGTTGTAAAATAATGGTTTTAATTACTTTTGCACTTTTTAACATCATCTCGCTTACGTGTTTCACAAAGTAATAAAATAAATTTGTTGAGGTATCTTAAAAAGAAAGGTAAAATAATGTTTATTCATGTTTTCCATGTTCTTTATGGAATTTTTTTTTTACCAGTAATCCTGAACTATCATTGATGTTAAGATTACTGTTCCACAAAAACTATTCAACTTCGATTAAAAAAAATAATTTTTCCTAAATTTACTAACGAGAATTGATTAAAGTAATTTTTATAGTTTTGTCCTCTTAATGTCTTAAAACTGTAAACTTAATACAGTATTTATTTTAAATTTTTTGTATGAAAACATGTTTGTATTTTATTATGTACATAAAGATTTGACTAAAACAATTTCAATTTTTATAGATTTCTATCTAATTTTATTTTTAAAATGCTACACATAGAGTTCAACGCAACAACAATTTTCTGTTCTATTATTCCATATAATTTTCAAAACAAAAACATAAATCAGACAACAAATCCGGAGGTAATAAAAGCGAACCAAGTGGAAAAGTTCTGAGTGGAGGAATTACTGGAGAGCTTTCGGATCGTAAAAGTTCCAACTACACCTGACCACATAAAACTTTCCTTTTGCTTTGTTTATTAAGTACAAAAGAGTGAAATTTTAATAGGGTTTTTAGTAAATATTTTTTTTTGGCATATAATGATTGAGTTTTGGTTAAGTTTATTTTCCCAGCTTTAAATTTATTTTATTTTATGCATTTTACATAACTAATGGCCAAATTCCAGAGTTAATTTGTGTTTATTTTTGTTTTAATGTTTAGAGAAGATTCCTTAGTTTAGATATGTATATAACTTTACTATCATGATTTTAACAACATTCTTGAAAAAGTTTTTTTTTTATTAGTTTATTTATTATTTAATTTTGAACGTCACAAGAAACTATATTCTTGTTATATATTGTAATTAAAGTTTAAATAGGTTTAAACAATTTTTTTTTATTACTAATGAAATTATTTTAATTATATAAATATTCTGTGGAATTGACAAAACTATTACAAAACTGCTTTTATGAACATTTGTCTAAGTAAAAAAAATTTAAAAAGATTGTATGGTCAAACATTAATATTTTTCTTGGGTAAAAGAAAATTGAAATGCTTAATTCATTGTCCAAAAAAATTATTTCACATTTCCTCGATTATCAGAAATAAAAGTAAAATTTATTTATTGGAAGTTCAATTAGTCTTTATTATTTATTTAATTCAAATATTTTCATTTAATTTTCATCTAGCTTTTTTATCATAATCCTAATTCAAAATTAACAGCGCAACACTGACATTAACTATGATGACACACGTCTACATCAGAAATGAGTAATAAATGAGGGCGGGAGACAGTGACAGTAATATACATATGACAACAGCTGACAATGACATAGACAAGTACTCTTACTCTCATGCAATCCAACTGTACTTTACATAGAGTAATGAACACTTCTCTTGTAGATGGTTGGTTGAATTATACTTGCAAATACAAGTGTTGTGTATGTGCAGATGTATTTTATAAACATAGTAATAGTATATTTTGTACCTTGGGCCGAAAATGAGGTTATGCCGGCTCCAGTTGTTTGTTAAAACGGCCGAGAGCTTCAAAACCCTTTCAGCCGAAAAAAAAACCGATAAAATACAAACGCTATTTTTCACCACACAATACAAAATTGAGAAAATATACACAATATGCATACTAACAGTCAACACAATTGCAACTTTATGGTTATGTGAAGAAATATTTAGAGGAATCAGTAAAAAAAAAATAGTTTAAGCAGTGGTGACAACAAAACAAGTCCATTGCAATGCTATGGATACTGATTAAGTATTTAATATGCAGCTGATTTTCGGCCATAGGGATGTAAAAACCTGCTCGGTCCCCAAATGACAAATGACAGCAATATGTAGCTTTTGGTTACCAATAAATTTGTAAAACGGCTAAAAACATTGTGATGAAAAAGAAGTTTCCAAATGAAAGAATGTTGTCTATTTAAAATGTGGATGTTATTTGTTGTATTAAAAGATTGTTTACCCCTTTGGCGTTCAAAGGCTAATATATATTGGATATAAGAATTATATTCATTTTATTTATCAAAAAGGACAACAATATTGGTTATTAATATATGTATAATATGTTGTTGTCTCCTTTTCAAGCTAGTTGTCCCTTCTGTATTCAAGTTAAACTTCGTACCACAATTCATGAATAATCCATTAGTCCTTACACTAACTTAGGTATTCCCATACGAATAGTCAATGAATATTCAGTTCATTAATGATCTACAAGTTTGTTACCTATTAATGTGACACAAATTATAGGGTTTTAAAATAATTGTTAAAAAAAATTGTAGGTTATGTATCTATAAATGTTTTGACCAGTTTTTGTGAAGTTATGTCAATGTAAATAACACCTGGAGTTAGTATCAACCAATTGTTTAAGTAAACTATTGAAACTTTAAAAGATTTTTAAAATTATATTTTGGTGTAAGTCGAAGAGTTTTATCTGATAGTTTCAAAAGCGTGTCAAATCGAGATAAACCAGTTGCTCCATCAGTCAGCTGTTATCTGCTGTTGCGTTGTGTACAAGGTACTTGGCGCAATCCTCAAATAGATCTAATTTTATCACAATGTAATAAATGACAATGAGCTTATGAAGAGGATGTATCACATTCAATCAATCGTAACAGCAGTGTCATGGTCTTTTCTTCCACCATTCTTTTGTAGCCTTTTCCTACCTCTATGCTTAGTCAAATCAATTAAATTATGAAAATTATTTGTGGGATTCACTCACCATTTTTGTCTATGGTGTCCAAGACTCGTCAAAACACATATTTATACAAGACACACAATCGTCCATGGCATCAAAGTCCGACGTTTTGCGGAACTCACAAAAAAGTGCGCTTCCTCAGAGTTGGAAAAAACTATTTTTATCCCACACGCAGGTGGAACGCCTAACCACGACTGGCAGATAATCTGAACTTGGAGAACGGGCAAGGGAAGGGGTAGGTGCATTGTCCATTGTTGATAAGCCATTCATGCCCCTGGCCTTATCTCATAGTTGCTATAGTTCGTCTTTAACAAATTTTAAATACACCATGCTAACATCCACGGTTGGTTAGGCGTTCGACTTGCGTTCAGGATAAAAATATTTTTTAGAACCCTGGGGTAGCAGAATGTATTTTTTGTGAGTCCGGCAAAAAGTTGAACTTCGATGCCATTGCCTGTCTTATGTGTGTTTGTGGGTGTTTTGATGAGTCCTGGACATCATAGACAAAAAAAGGTGGATGAAGTCTACAAATAATCTACATAAATGAATAACACGACTAAAAGTATGTGATTTAGAAACAAATAAAGTCAAATGAAACTGTATAACGTACATAGCATAGCTATAAAACAGGTGACATTGTCAAAAGTCTTATTTTAGTAGGTGACAATGATAGAATCCAATATTATTGGCTGTTGCAAAGTATAAAATTCTTTCAGTAACTAGATTAGATTTCCACAGAATGTGTCTAGAGAAAAGTGTATGGGCGTAAAAACTGTGAGCGGTTTTGGCAGATTTCTGAAGGCTGTACATGTTAGTCAACTAACACAACTGTAGATGTACATCAGTTTTTATGAAGAAAGTAACAAAAGTTAAAGAAGTTTTGCTTGCAGACGAGTATGTTTCACAGTGTACCATTGTCTATGGTAGTCGTAAAGATGGTTCCCATCAGTTAGGCTATCCCATACACAGTCGATCTGTATTCTGTGAATTTCCCTAACTTTTGACACTGTCCCGATCAAACATTGATGAACGACTGATATTATCAACATCGGGAAAATTTAAACTACCTTTTCAAAAATCCCTCTCCTTACTCTCATTTTAGCGAATTTCCCATATAGGGAATAAGTTATTACCGTAGGTCTCATGGTAAGACCTAGACCCGGGAGCGATTTACTATTTCGTTTTGAGGTCCCCAGAGGCCAAAAACACCATCCGTTCAAATTCATATATATATATATATATATAATTATATATATTTATATATGTGTCGGTTAGCGCGATAACTCGAGCAAAATTGATCCGATTTTGATGAAATTTGGTACAAACGTGTAAACCTACATTTATTCGAACAAGTTCGCGAACCAGCATAATCGGACCATGGGATCAGGGGTTTATAGGGGGTTTTATGGGGTAAAAATGGGTTTTTCTCATTTTTGACCCTAAAAACTTTAAATTTCTAAATTTCTCTCCAGACCATTTTGAAGAGCTTAAAAAAACAAATAATTTAGTATATTGAAGTGTTTTTGAATGTTCATTGACTACGGAGAAAATTAAAAAAAATTGTAAATTTAAAATTCCCATGTTATTCTTATGGAGAATAAATAAACTGTTCTAGTTTTCTTTGTTTATAGATATATTTTAATCAAATTTGGCTTATTTCATACTAAGCTATCAATATTTCAATTGAAAAAACACACCTTAACATCTTCCCCATAGCAGCAAACCTAACTACTCACTAAAATTAATGTTATTTAAATAGGAAATAAAATCTGAAAATTTATAGGGAATATTTTAGTAGAAATCAAGCCGGGTAAATGGAAATTCGCTTAGTATGCAGGTTTGCTATGACGGGGGTATTGTAATGTTCTATCAGTTTTATTCACACTCACATACACACATCCATGTACTGACAATGGTTTGAGGGATAGACCCCTTAGACCACAATTCTATAGAACACAATTTGCCCTTGGGGGGGGGGGGTCATGTTAATTTTGAATTTAATTTAATTGATAATGGTTTATGACAAAACTGAGTGCTGAAAAGAGAAATTAAAGTTAAATTGGTGGAAATTAATTAAAGTGAAGAGCATATTGCTAGTAGTTGATTAAACTTCCTCGTTTTGTTGCGAAAAAAGCTTGTTATAGACCTTAATTTGTATACAAACTTTGTAGTTTTAGCTGTCTTGTTTATAAATCTTAAGATCAGTGGTTTGATTCTGCTAGATCAATTCCAGACCCAAACGCCATATGTGATTGGGCTATGAATTGATGATGCTATTAAAAAATGCATGAGCAAGAAGATCATACGTTAAACCACTGCAAAACGTAAAAAATGCCAATGGCATAAATAAACCAACAAGATTTGGCCTAAAAATGCTCTACATGTCTATTTTCTGTTGTAGGTGAAGAAGATGCAAGACAGGGTACAGAAGACCAAAGAGGAGGTACAGAAGTGCAAGGAGAGGTACGAACTGGCTCTGCAGGAACTCAACGGCTACAACCCCAAATACATGGAAGATATGTCAGTAGTATTCGACAAGTGCCAGGAAATGGAGGCTCAGAGGCTTCATTTCTTCAAGGAAACTCTTTTCTCTATTCACAAATGCCTCAATATCTCACAGGACCCTGAGTAAGCTATCATTGATTTCCTTAAAAGAAATAGACATCTTATTCCCACAGTTAAGCTGTACAGTTTGTAAGAATACAAGTTATTAATAGCTTATAAGTAGTTGAATCCGTAGAAGAAGCGCACTGATGTCAGCTGCAGATTTCTTCGTAGACGACAACTTTTTTAATCAAACCAAAGTGAAACCAACTTAATAACTTATTATAAACTATAGTATCTTTGATGTCACATCAACCAAAAACTAAGGAGTAAGATAGAAATTTTAAATTAGTGGATGACGTTATCGTCATCCCCCACAATCGCGGTCGAAACTTGGACATCTCCTGCAGCAATGGAAACTTTATCATGGTCGATTGTGGCAAAATATTGAACCTCTCCGCAGCCACGGAGTAATCTTAAGACATATCCTGTGGTCATGGAAGAAATTGTCTTTGGCGATTGTGGAAATTTATTGAACAACTCACAAACTTGCAGGGGCGTCATCATCTTCTCCTGCTATGACAGAAACATTATTGATGTTATCTATGATCACAGGAAACTCCTGAATATCTCCTGCGGTAACAGAAAAATCATAATCTTCTCCCGCGATCACGGCAAATCCTGAACATAGGCTACTGCTTCTTGGAATATCTGATTTTTTTTCACTGTTCTGACCAAAGTCCCGGCCCTGTAGGTGTCAGATTAGCGGGTTTGTTCTGTACTTCGATGTTGTCAATGTTATTCAGTGGTTACAGCAGGAATGTTTTCCATAATAAGTCTATAGCAGAACTAAGAGTATTTTAAACATTTCAAGTTTACATTTTTTGACAACACGATAAAAACCCCGCTTACATGGGCAACAAAATGTTCAAAAATGTTAATAGCTGATTTGCTGATATCAACAAAATCTGTTGTGAACTCAAATGTGAAAGTGTCCTTACTCACTAAGACCAACTGCCTCTTTAGTCAGGGCCGTTTTTCATAATCCCAAAGATCTGGGACAGTTCTATCTATAAATATTCAACTTTATGAACTACGTGAGTTTACTAACTGTGTGTTTCATTTTCAGCCTACCTCAGATTTACGAAGAGTTTTACCACACAGTAAACAATGCAGACCATGAAAAAGACTTGAAATGGTGGTCGAATAACCACGGAGTAAATATGGCAATGAACTGGCCACAGTTTGAGGTAAGATACGTAGATTCCCCGCATGACATCCAAGTAAGATGTCGTTGGTTGCTTGTTAAACGCAAGTTTTGGAAGTTAATAGCTTTATGTTCCATGTTATGGTTAATGTGTTGAGCTAAAACTTGAGCTAATTCTAATCGTTTTACTTTTACAGTAACTTTTTTGTGTTTTAACTAATTTTACTGTTTTGTAAATTCACACTCAAAATAAGAACAGAAGTAAAATAGCATTATCAACCATGGTACATTTTGTAATTGATTAAAAACAGTTTTTAATTTACTGAGTTTTTTAAATAATATGTTTTTATTCACACTCAAAAATAGGTTTTGTCAATATATTTCACATGTAATAAACATGAAACAGCATGTATACAACAAACTCGCCATGTATGAGAAATATATTACAAGTATTTTAATATAGGCTATTATTTCTCTGGTGCCATCAGCAAATATTATTTTTAATTTTTTTTTACATTTGTTTGATTGTATTTGCATTTTCAAAGTTATTTGCAAATTTTGCTAGTGTTGTTGCTCTCAATTGTTAGCAATGATGTGGTATTTGTTTATTGTATTTTTTTATATTACACAAAGCATTTTGAATTAGTCTTTTGCATAAATGTGATATTTTGTTCAGCTGCTGCTTGTCATATTTTTTGTTTATGTGTCTTGAATGCGTAATGAATTAGGTTTCTTAAAAATTACTCCATGTTGAGCATGTTTAGGGATCACCATAGCCAATTACAAAAAAAGTTTGTTATTCTCTGCAGGATACTGTTTTTTTTTAAATACAACTAACTCTTGAAAATCCGAAACTTCCCCTTGACCTAGAAAAAAAATTGGAAGATAGATTGATAAATTATAGGCACAACCTGGCGGATTTTTTGGAAGATTTCCCGAATTAAGGTAAAAATCAAACTACTATATAAATCTTTGATTATCCAAAAGTGGTACGGTCCCAATTGATTCAGATAGTTAGAGCTCTACTTAAATTTGGCGAATAATTGAGCTAAAACCTCCTGCAACTATCACGTCATCCTAGTTACTCCTGTGACTTAAAATTGCGTATAAACGTCATTTTACAGTTCTATTTTTCACCCCAGACCCTCCATTTTACTGGGGTTTTCCATACCCTTCAGGCAGGACTGCACCAAATTTGGACGACACACTCAGACAACGATAAACCAGGTCAGATTAAGTGTCCAGGTTTGTCGTTTGCGTGTGGCGTTAAATTTGGTGCAGTTAAACATGTCCAGCTTCATCGTGTCATGCAACGCCAACTCCGGACACTTTTTAAAAATGTAAGGGTTCGTCGTTTGCATGCAACATTAAACTGGGACACTTCGGATAGTGTCTGGGTTCATTGTTGTCTGACTTGATCGTTGTCCGACTTCGTCATCGTCCCCTCTAGGCCCTTGGTACTTCCCCTTGTTTCATTCTTGTTACGCCTTTGCAAACCATGGAGTGATGGATTATCAAGAGCCAACCGTACCAAAAAGGTACATTTATATACACTCTTTATAAACGTAGAAACAGAATAAATTGCTTAGATGCTATGGGTAGACAAGCAGCAGCGTTTTATGTGCGATGTGCTAGCAGTGTTATGTGTTGTGAGCAATGTGCATGTGTTTGTGTGTCAGGACTACACAGAGGAATTTAGAGAGATCGCCAAGGGAAAGAGCAAGGAGGCGTTGCCGGCCGGAAGCATCACACTCATCAACCAACGGCCTGTCGGCGAGGATCTGCATGTATGCTTGCTTCCCTACCGTAGCTGTAGCTAGAAACATTCACTCCTGTAATCCACTTATTTTTATGTAAATCCCAAAGCCTTGTAGAACAGTGTGTCTACCGATCAATAAAGTCACTGATACCGATCACGAAAGTCACTGATTTGACTAGGGAGTCACGGAAATTACTAAATAGTGAATAATTTACTAAGGAGTCACAGAAATTACTAAAAAGTCAATGATCTTACTAGAAAGCCACGGAAATTACTAAATTGTCAATGATTTTACCAGAGAGTCACGGAAATTACTAAATAGTCAATGAATTTACTAGGGAGTCACGGAAATTACTAAATAGTCAATGATTTTACTAGGGAGTCACGGAATAAACAGTCAATGATTTTACCAGGGAGTCACGGAAATTACTAAATACTCAATGATTTTACTAGGGAGTCACGGAAATTACCAAACAGTCAATGATTTTACCAGGGAGTCACGGAAATTACTAAATACTCCATGATTTTACTAGGGAGTCACGGAAATTACTAAACAGTCAATGATTTTACCAGGGAGTCACGGAAGACGCTGATTATTATTAGGGAGTCATCGAAGACGCTGATTTTATTGAGGAGTGACGGAAGTCACTGATTTTACTAGGGAGTCATGGAAATTACTAAAAAGTCAATGATTTTACCAGGGAGTCATGGAATTACTAAAAAGTCAATGATTTTACCAGAGTGTCACGGAAATTACTAAATAGTCAATTATTTTACGAGGGAGTCACGGAAATTACTAAATAGTCAATGATTTTACCAGAGAGTCACGGGAATTACTAAATAGTCAATGATTTTACCAGAGAGTCACGGAAATTACTAAACAGTCAATGATTTTACTAGAGAGTCACGGAAATTACTAAATAGTCAATGATTTTACTTGGGAGTCACGGAAATTATTAAATAGTTAATGATTTTACTAGGGAGTCACGGAAGGCACTGATTTTAGTAGGGAGTCACAGAAGTCACTGCTTAACCAGGGGGGCACAAAAGACATTGACAAGTAACGGATTATCATTTTAAGGTCCAAAGATCATGGAAAAGTCTACTAAAATAAAGATACCCAAACCTGCCTTTAGTTTTGCACCTTGCTGCAGGCAATGATTAAGTTTATAATGCAGAATCAGAGAGGGAACATATTTTGGGAGCAGGCAACCATCTTAAAATCGTTAAGGCTCAAAATATTGCATGTCCAATTATCTCATACTATTCAAGTCACTAAAAAGTATCGTCTTATCGGTACCAAAAATCGAGTGTTTCAATGATTTTGAACTGTTTAATCTAAATAACAATCGTAGTAACTCCAAACTTGGCCCCCAAGTTGACAGCACAGGTACTATAGCTGTTCATAAGTTCAAAATGTCCCACCTTGCTTTTAGGATTACAGGAGTGTAAGTTATTGTTGAAGCCCAATTGTTTTTAAATATATTTGTTAGTTACTTAAGTAATTATTTAAAAAAGGGGCATGACTGGTGTATTAAGAGTCTGGAATTTTAATGCTGGATTCCTTTGTTTTTATCCCGTCAATTGCCAAAATCAAGTGATGTGATGTGATATTTCCCACTTTAAGTTGTAGGTGTAGGTCTACTGACCTAAAAACAAACAAAGATAGACCTTTCTGGCAAGGATAACTTTCAATGTATTTGAGGACTCTTCCCACTAAAAATTATTCAAATTTGATACAATTTACAAAATTGGGAAAATTTTTACTTTGAAGATTGGTAACGTCATCAAGTGGTTTTAAAAATGTTCTTCCACTGCATCCACGGATTGTATTTGCTATACTTTAATTGTTTTATTGAGTTTCCGTTTCCAAGCAAACTAATAGTTTTGCAAACGTAAGTAGCTTTGGTTGTTGCATTTTGTCTATTTGGCATGGAATTGAATTTTGTCAAAAATGTACCAAGGAATTATGACGCTGTTAGTGCTTAATGTTTTTTGTAGCTAACTCCTAAGTTTTTTTTTTCATACTAATTTATTTTTTGGTGATACAAAATAATTTAATAACTCAAATTAATACACACTGTGTGTCTATGTCTTGCACGGAAAAACTGTTTTCATTTATTTACAAGTGGTAATAATTATATTCAATTACTTTACAGTATTATTGACAATTGTTAAATCATTTTAAATAAGTGTTTAACAAAAAAAATCAGTTTAACGTTCTTGACGTTGGGATTCAATTCGAACCCACAAAATATCAACCTAGGGATTTAAGTAGGCTTAGTGAAAGACAGTAACAGATCAGAATACATTTTGTCACATTTAAACTATGTTCTAGAAAACGGCTTATAATTTTGTTATTGTAAAGTTGATGATAATTCTGCAACAAACGTAATTTCTCAACTCCAAATTTTTTATTTACTAGATCAATATTCTCATTAGTAATTGCACTATATTTTGTTGACTATGGTACCACCTATTTTGAAATTTTAATGCTCATTTCAAGACCTTACCAAACATTGCCTATACAAGAAGATCAGTTTGGTAAAATCATTTGTTTAATATTATGGTTTTAAAATTAACATTTCTTTGCTTTTGTCAGGAGTTCCCCCCAGTTAATCACAAGTCGTCGACCAAGAAAATAGCGCCAGTCTCGAGTCAAATGGCCAATAACCGTGTCATCTCTACGGACGCAACAGACTCCAAGAAAACAGAAAAGACTGAGAATAACGGAACTGCAACCACCATCACGTAAGTATTTTATTATAAAGAAAAAAACCTGTCACTTTAGACCTGTTTAAGGAATTATCATTAACGTTTTCCCATCTCAAAAGTAAACATTTTAGAACTTGGAATCTAATTGGGTAAGAATATATTTAGTTTAATATTATTTTAGGATAATTCTGGTAGGTAACTACTCTGGTAATCAGACACCCTCTTGGTTTCGTAAGTATCGGATTAGTTATTGTCATCTGATTAAGACACATCACTGTTACCAATATTCGCAAAAGGCTTTAGGTCAGGATTTAAGGCTAGTATTGTTTGCAGGAACGGTAACGGCACGACGGGCAGCAGAGAAGGGAACCCGTTTGAAGAGGAGGAGTGGGACGAGGAGGGAGGAGACGCGTTGGTAGACAACGGAGAACCTGGCGTCCCAGTCAAGGCGCTGTACGACTATGAGGGAGCGGAGAGTGATGAACTGAGCTTTAAACAAGGTCAGTAGCGCTGTGAGAAAGTGCTAAAATTACACACATTAAAAGGATGAAAGAATTTTTATTTAGTTAAGCATATTGATTTCTTAATGTCTTGCGCTCATCGCATATTGGGTCTGACATTCACCAAAAAAAGCCCAGTGCCAGCAGTCAGCAAAATCCTAACTACAGCAGCACGAGAAAACTAAATAAATTTGAAAGCGCTGGAAAACGGCACCTTAAATGTTTTTTTTACTTTAAAATCACGCAATAAGAGCAATACATTTGCCTAGATTTGATCAATTTGAAATTTGTACTGTTTTTAATGGCGAGGTATAAAACAATCATCCTTCTTATAGAAAATTAATTACCTAAATACATACAAGTTTTTCAAGCATATTCAGCGAACACACAAAACAAGTATTGTTGATTTTAAAATTCTTGAATTGAATGATAATTTATTGCAGGAGATTTTGATTTAATGTGGCAAGTTGAGCTATTTGAACCAATGTATGATGTGATACATCACAATGTGTGTGTGTGTGTGTGTGTTGAATGATGTATGATACATGTTATTTGAGCATACAAGCACCACTGACATGGTCCAACCTTCTTAAAATGTTCTAACTCGTTAAACTTTTTGCGCAGGTGATGTATTTGAGAAGCTAGAAGACGAAGATGAGCAGGGGTGGTGTAAAGGCAGGAAAGACGGCCGCGTCGGTCTCTATCCGGCCAACTATGTTGAAGTGGTGTAATAGACACATCTCGTAAACTGTTGTTTTGTTTTAAACTTATCTTCCTCTATTTAGTAATAAATTACTTCTATTGTAATGTTTTGCTTTTTTTAAGTGGTTTTAAAACGATCATTTCATTTTTTAAAGTATTTTCAGTAACTGATAAAGGTAAAAACACCAAAGACTCGATTTTAGTATTTTTTTTTAAATAATTGGTCGTGCAAAGTATTAATCACTTAACAAAATTAGTGTTTTATTGAATACGCTGTGCTATTTATTATTTAGTCAAGTTTAGTTTGTTGTTTATTAGGTAGAAGATAAAATATTTATTTAATACTTGAGAACATTCCTTTTTTGATTATTTAGTTTTATTTTTCTTCATGTACCTAGTACATCTTTCAAACATTTTAGGTGTTTTGATGTTTTTATTTCTATCAGTTTGCACACAATCACGTGTTATTCAACATCTATTATTTTAATCTTAATGAAAAGCAATTATTGTTAGTACTTATGATTATTTGTATAAAAGTATTGTTTTCGTAGTCGATTGTACAATAAGTCGTATGCGATGTTTCTTTAAAGTTTTGTTGATATTTTGAAATATTTATTGTTACGAGTGGAGTGCTAGCGGTACCGAACTGCTCAACGTCAGGTATCTGTAATTATGTATGTATAAAGCAAACCCATTATAGATAGGATATATTAATATTGTAGTAAAGTGTATTTTGTTTATTTTTATCTCTGTTAAACCGAGTCCCAGGTTGTGTATTTATTTTAAAAATATTGTACACATGTAACATACTTTTAAATAATAAATTGTTTCTAGCTATAAAACAGTTTTTTGCTGTCCCAAAAATTTCTTGATGTGTTTAAAATGTAGATGACGTGTAATTTAGATATGACATCAGACGTAAAGAGCGCTAGCCTTGTAATCAAAAGTCGCCGGTTCAATCCTGAGAAAAGCCAGTAGCTTTTGTATGGTTTGAAATTTGGCTTTTAATGAATGGTTCTAACTACAGTATCAGCTAAATGACTGGGTTCCTTTAGTTTAAAAAAGCTGGACTGAGCTTTTATTTTGAATTATCAAAAGTTTTGATTTATTAAATGTTTGAATTACCTGCACCTGTAGGTGTTGAAGAGTAGACTGTACCAACCAAGAAATTGTAAAATGTGTTTTGATGACTGTGAAAAGCTTTCCTATACAGCTACAGGTAAAATATTACAAGTACTTTTTTAAAGTATTATATTATATTTGTACAAAATTCTTGTGTCATGAAGACTGCCTTTTGATGCTTAACCTTAACAAATAACAAACAAATAGCAATATCTCTTTAAAAATTTGTTCAATGCTGCTTTTGTAGGTTTTTTTCCAATTATGATTCACATGTTTATGTTAGTCACAATGAAGCTTTTAACATTAAAAGTCTATAACATGGGTTTACATTAAAGTCTCAAAATTGAGGAATAAAATGGATATGTCAAATTGGTTGGCTTGGTACTTTTATCAAATATTACTGTTTAAGAACTTTGAGGAACGTATCTTTAGGAATGTTTATTTTTGCAATTGATTTCATTTTCTTCTTTCCTTCAGCTTGCTTGGTCAGGAGTTTCTTTTTTCTGCTGACGTCTCCTCCATACTGAAAATGATAAGTGGTGTTTGAAAATTGCTAAAAAAAACAAAACCAATAACACACTGTTTAAATATTTAGAATGACTGATGAGGAATTCAAATCCATATAAGTAAATTTTTAGACTGAGACATGTTCTTATGTTTACTACTGCTAAAAGGATTTTAAAGTACAAATGAACTAGTTTCATCCAAAAAGTAAAGAAATGATTATTACCAGTTTTGCAATCACATCTTTTCTGTAAGGGTTGATGGTTTCTCTTGCAACGATCTTTGCCCCCACCGCAGCCTGAATCATGACCTGAAATAACATTTATCAATTCAAAAAACTCTTAACGATACCTTTTTAGTTATAGAAAAATTTACCAGTGGCTTGATTCCAGGAGGCCTAGTTTTATAAATTACACAAATAGGATTTGTCAATCTACAATGCCATAATTTTATGATTCAATGATTAGTTGAGACGATTCTTGAAAAACCGAATAAATAAATAATGTAAACCAAGAACTAATAAAGGACGATTGTCCACTATACATGGTCTGTTTTCAATACGGAGTAAGTAAGGAGGTCTTGAAAAATCAGATTTTTCTGAATTCTTGTGTAGAGAAAAGTAGGGGAAAAGTGTGCATTAACTAACACTTACTGTTCTCTTTGCCCAGGTTAAGCTTTACATCCTCTTATTGTGCACACTGTTCAGCCAGATAGACACAAAATATATCATGGGCGTTTTATTAAGTAAAGGATGTTTTTGCGTATAGCTCCATAGTTCACATGTATTCCGCAACGAGTTGGCTTGCCGCTTATTGTCATTATTGAACAGAATGGCGCGGCGCCACTTGCAGCTTTGTAGCTGACGTAAACGCTCAACTGTGTGTTTAGAATTTATTTTTTATTATTGAATCTCCCATTGCATGCGAGATAAGGTCAATGATACTTTTTTTGACCACAAGAAACTTATCCGATGCCGAAATTCATAGCCAGATGACTGACGTAAGTACCTAATTTAAGTGAGGGTAAAGTAAGGAAATTGGTTAGGGAGTGCCAAACGTAAAAACTTTTTTCCTTTGTGGTCTTCTGTGAGAAGTCTGGGTACCCACCAAAAACACAATTCCTTCCAAATTGGACATTTGCATGGTCATTTTTAACTCCCTAACCCATTTCTGCACTTTACCCTCACTCATTGCATTTGGGCCAGACAATTAAGCACAAATTGTGCCTTAAATTTACTGTGTAGCCTAAGGCAACCTACAGGTAACCCTCGTTAACCAAAGAGGTTCGTTGTGATTTGTTTGGCCTCTAAGGGTGCACACCTAATTAATGGTACTGCGATTGTTTGGCCACAAAAACAAACCACGCACTGATTATAAAAATGATTTTATTGCTAAATCGTAAAAAGCAAAATACTCACTGGAACCATCTGTCGGGGGATGAGTTTCTTGAGTTTCTCGCACATGTTTTTACCAGCAACATGTGCCTTGGACTCGTGTACTATGGAGCATAGAGCGTCCACGATTTCTCCATTCAACATGATTTCCAACTGGAACATATTCAAGGAGTTGTAATTGTAGCAAACTATAAAGGAAACAAAGAATCTCTGTATTTGGTTTTATATGTTCTTTTTGCATGGTTATTGGAAAATTTTAATTCAACCAAACCATGTATTAGTAATTGTAAGGTAATACAAATTTATAACTTGCGAGAAGTCTGAGTTGGTTCTGTTGAATACGCTATAGGGTGGAGTTGTCTAAATGAATACTCGGGCGTGCAACTAATGTTTAGTTTATTTAGCGGATTGAATAAAACTGAACTCACACCCATTGATAGATATAATCTTAACATCCTAACATCACAGTAAAATTCCCCATAGACTAAATAATTCAGATGGCTACTAATGAACCAAGGATCGGGCGATGTAAATCTCTCGAGTCTATAACCACATACCTGCTAATATCAGTACCAGGAGACTGAGAGTCATGTCTAGCGGTGTTGGCTGTAGACGATGTCGGAAGACTCCGACTCTCTGGTTCGCAAGAACCTACCTTATCTAACCTCAAGAGTGGTGGGGCGAGCTTATGACCTCAAATCTAGTTTCCTGAATTATCTCAGGCCTTCTATGGTTCTGGGATAATTTTGCTACTCCGAAAATATAAAATTGTTACTTAAACTTTTGACTGAGCTCCCTGCCCAAAATATAAACTGAACCAAAGTATAAACTAACCATAGGATTACACAACAGTTCTATTAAGAACTGTCCTTATAACCTTGAAGTCTGATCAGTGGGTAAAAGCAATCTAATGCTATTGCCTTGGAATAAAAATCCAATGGGGTATCCTGCTACTTAGATGTTAAGCCTGGTTTACACGGGTCGAGTACGGTGGGCGAGTCAGTGTGCGAGTTGCCACTCGCTCTTTAACTCGCATGGTGTAGACATGCAGGCAAGTCGAGCAACGGGCGAGTTGATAAAAAGAGGTCAGTTGAGAGTGAGTCGAGTGATTTAGTTGAAAACCGAGTTGCTCGGCCCAGTAGCTACCCCCACCACCACGATTTGCCCGCGAAAAACCTGTTTACTGATATCAAGTGAGTCCAGCGACCACAGAATTTATTTTTTGTGGTCGCTGAGTGAGTCGATGGTCGATCACATACAACGATCAGTATTGAGGCTAGTTCAGTGAGTAGTGTAGGCCTATCTCACCCTTAATGCTCAATGGTTTATTTGAACAGTACAAGTGATTTTGTACAAGTACAAGTTGAACACAGTATTGTGTTGCATTGTCTCGTAAATCTACTCTTATAGAATTCAGTTTTCAAAATTGTTGTACAAGATCTACAGTTCTACTGGACCGATTTTACTTATCAATGGGTCGTTAGAAAGCTCACTCCCTAAAAATGTGTTCTATGCAATGAACACATTGAAAACAGTGTTTTCAAATTTTTAATTTCCAAGGAGGCAACTTTTGGCTGCCTTCATATATTATTTTAAAGAAATACAGTATATAGTAGGTAATTTGTAACAAATCTTTTTATCTTTCAGAATGAGAATTTCACCTTTCACTTTATTGGTCTATTTCATCACCGTTATTTTGCAAAAAAAGCTTTTAAACAACCTCTGGATTTAAGTGGTGATTCAGTTTTATATCAGCTATCTTCAGTATTAAGCTCTTGAAGGGCCATTTTTTAACTCAAACAACAATTAACTTATTGAAAGCTACGGTATACACAATACCCTACACCATAGTGAAAATAGGAATGCGTGTAGACAGTCCAGTCAAGTACCGGACGAGTTGAACAAATCAACAACTGGGCCTAGTAACTGGGCCGAATAACTCGTCTGACATACTCGACCCGTGTAAACCAGGCTTTAGTGCCTCCAACTTTCCAATGACCAACCATGTCTGCTGCGGACATGATTAGAGGCGTGCACGTAGAGGGATCAGAGGGATATAACAAAAATTAAGCTTATCACCTTGCCGTTAACGACGTTAACCCATCTTATCTGTCACATCCAACTAATTCGTAAGTTGCTAAATGTTCAAACGTAAAATTTAACAGCAACTTGACGCACAAAACTCACAACTCTGCCCTGATTCCTCTACCACATGGGAATTTAACCTCTATAACCTAACCTCCAAGTAAATAACAACAAACAGCAACAACCAATAACAGCCGTCTGTCATCCATAGAGAAAGAAGAACTAACTCCACGCAGGATTTTTCTTAAGCCACTGCCATCTCGATATCCTTCTCGACCGTTTTAAAAGCACTATAAACAATCTAGCATGGAAAACACTATTTGCCCACTTTGTGATATTATAGTTTCTGACTGTGGGAAAGGGATTTTTTGTGAAGGGGTGTGCGCGACATGGTATCACCCCAATTGCATGGGAATGACCGATGATCATTATATTAATTTGACTAATGACCTAAATGCTATTTGGGAATGTCCCCCCTGCCAATTCTACTACTCCGATTTAACATCAACATCACAAAATTCTGGGGTCAGCGACTTTGAACAAGCACAGACAAATGGCAGAACAACAAAAACAAAAAAACTCCACCCACCTAGTCAAAATTTGACTCCAAAAAATACATGTAGCTCTGATGCTAAGCTCGCCCTACTAATTGACAGGCTCCAAAACCATGAAGTAAACCATAATAGTAGCAATAGCGAAGAGTTAGAAAACAGCGTTATAATGGCAGCTGAAATAGGTTCTTCTCTCCTAGAAAAAGCTTCTCAACTTGAAAAGGATAATTCAATTCTTCAGCAGCATCTGGATAGCTTAACAGCAGTTAACGAAGGGCTTAGGAATGAAGTAAACACACTGCAGGAGAGAGAGGCTCATCTAGTAGAAAAAGTCAACGAATTAAACCATAAGCTAAACGGAGAAGTAGAATTACGAACAAATATGCAAAAAACATTTGAAGAGCACGATGAAAATCAAGAACAGTCCCTTGCGAAGAAACAAGAAAAAATAAACCAACCCGAAACCATAATTAAGTCTAATGACAAGGAAATAAACTACCAGCAGCCCAGTAATGATCACACAACACCAAAGCCCAGTAACAACAATAGGAAGCCATACTTAGAACATACCAACTCACACCTGGAAATTCAAACTTTACTCAATAACTTCAGAGCTATGGAATATCGTCTCTCAAACATGGAAAAAATATCTTATGAAAATAAGACAGATATCAAGATGCTGAAGGAGACCATATCTGTTCCAGGAAATTCACTTGACCATACAACTTCTGGTAGTACTGGAGCCAACAAGCACTTCAGCGGTCACTTGGATGTCTATAGTACTGGGGCTTCAATATTAGGCAAAACTTGTTTGAAGAATTCTACCCAGCATCCAGTGTCTGACAGAACCCCGGAGAAGAATATATTGTCTTCCAATCCACCGATAACAGCAAAACTTCTTCAGCCCAATGAAAATATAGAAGATATCTTGAACAATTTCTTCGGAACTTCAGAGACAACAGGAGGAAGATCTAAGAAGAATGTTTGCGCGCCGGATAGATATGAAAATTCTGAACTTTCATTGCAACTCGACAACCAAGCAACCTCAATCCATGCAACAGGAAACTCTTTTTTAGGGAGTATCCGAAGAAAGAAGGTCAAAAGAAAAGCACTGCAAGGAAGCCGAATATTCATGAACTCATCGCTAAAAAAATACTAATTTATCACCAGAATGTCGACCGACTCGCAAATAAGATTGACCGGCTTGATCACTGTCTAAGTATTCTACAGCCTAACTTACTTGTTATAACTGAACACGGTCTCGATCAATCCAGAATCACCAGCACTCATTTGGTAAACTACAAACTCGCTGCATATTTTTGTAGGGAGCATCATCAAAAAGGTGGCTGTGCTATTTACATACATAAATCCTTTGGCTTTGAGGTTGAAGAAATTGAAACGAGACGTCATTGCCTTGAACTTGTTTGTGAGATGGCCGGCATAAAAGTATCTCTCAAAGGAGGAAGACACTTGTACCTGATCGGCGTCTATAGGCCTCCTGGAGGCACTCTTGACGAAGCATTGGCACGAATATCAACCCTTTTGGAAACACTCCCGAGCAGTGCCCCTATATGCATAGTTGGTGACCTGAACATTGACAGTCTCAAAGCATCAAAGGAGAAGGAAAATCAAGCCCTTAATGATACTCTTGCGTCCTTTGGCATATACAGAGCAAATCTGCCACCAACAAGAATCACTAGTATTTCTGAATCATCGATTGATGTCGTCTTCACTAATCTAGACCCAAAACAGGTCAATATCAAAATAATGCACGAACACATATCAGACCACAGTGGTCAGCTTTGCGCTCTGAACTTACCTGCAAAAACTACAACTCAGCCAATTTCTTCTCGCAGAAAGTTAAGCAACCATAATCTGTCACAGTTAAAGGCACTTCTAGCTGAGGAGTCGTGGGACAACGGCTTTCAATCGGTTGATGTGAATGAATCTCTCTCACACCTCATGAGAACTCTGAGATTGGCTCTAGATGCATCATGTCCGTACAAAACAAAAAGAGGTAAAAATGCTCGCCAAAAAATGTTCCAGTATGATCCAGATGTACATTTACTGAAGGCCAATTTCATCCAAGCCCAGAACAGGTTCCTGATCACCGGAAGAGAATGCGACAAACTTGAAGCCAATCTGAAGAAGAAGTCTTACGATTTAAAACTAAAGTCTTCTAGGAAAGCTGCAAGTGAAAAGGTAATCTCAGAATCGTCAAATAAAAGCAAGGCAATCTGGAATATTATAAACTCAGAAAGAAGAGCATGTGATAAGCCAAGAGATCCTACCTGGAGATTGAATATATCAAATGAACTTGTTGAAGACCCCAACATGATTGCAAACGTGTTCAATGAATATTTCACGTCTATAGCTGAAGAAACACTTAGAGCCAACCCTTCACAGAAAAATGACCAGCAAATCCATCAGCTCCTCCAGCCACCTATGGATCACCTTGGGTTGGTTTTGTTTCATCCAGCAACTAATGACGAGATCCGGGATATAATAAGAACTCTAAGGCCAACCTCATCAACTGGAGTGGACGATATTTCCTCCAGGATGTTGAAGTTTTGTGAAGATGAGCTCTGTTTACCATTGACCGATATTGTCAATAAGTCCTTGTCTCAAGCAACCTTTCCTTGTGCCATGAAAATCGCAAAGGTCTACCCTCTTCATAAAAAAGGGAAAACTGATGAAGTGGGCAACTATAGGCCAATTTCCTTGGTCCCCACGTTTTCAAAGGTGCTGGAGAGAGTTATTCTGGCCCGTCTCCAGAAGTATCTACACCAGAAGAGCCTTCTGCCAAAGGGACAACATGGTTTCATTCCTGGCAGATCCACAATCACCGCTGTAACAGATATAATCGAACACATCCTGGACAACTTGGAATATGGAAATCCTGGATCTCAGCAAGGCGTTCGATTGCCTGGACCATCAACGCATCATAGAGAAACTTCGAACTTTTGGTATAGATGGTTCAGCACTCGCCTGGTTTGGTTCCTACCTCTCCAATAGACAGCAGCTAGTTGAAATTAGGCACACTGCAAATGGAACAACAAGCGTGGTAAAATCTAAGCTGTTAGACGTATCGAGGGGAGTGCCACAAGGTTCGGTTTTGGGCCCAGTCCTGTTCGCACTGTTTTCAGCAGATTTCCCTGATTACATGGATCAGCATAGCCACACCGTCATGTTTGCGGATGACTCGGTACTTTTAACCAGTAACAATGAACTGGAGACCCTTGAGCTAAACAACCTTCTCGCCATCAAAAGAGCCATGGATTACTGTGCCAACAATGACCTGGTTTTCAACAAAAACAAAACACAGCAAGTATTCTTTGGGAAACTTAAGGACGACGTCACTTGCCACCCTAACATACAAGCTACCGAGTCAATAAAACATCTTGGAATAATCCTGGACCAGGAACTGCGCTGGGGTGCCCACATCGACCATCTCTGCCAACGACTCAGCTCCTCCATCTTTGCTCTAAGAAGGATCAATAGTATTGCAACAGCCGATGCAACACGGGCAGCATACCACGCACTCGTTGAATCCCATCTTAGATATGGTATAATTCTATGGGGAAACTGTGCAAAGGAAGTCACTCAGCGAGTTTTTGTTCTACAAAAACTTGCTGTGAGAATTCTCGGGAGCCTCCAGCAGCAAGAGAGTTGCAGGGGCGTCTTCAAGTCTCTCCAAATCCTTCCGCTGGCCGCCATTTACATCTGTGAGGTTGTTGCCTTTTCTACTTCCCTTAACCTCCCGAGGAATTCAAATATCCATCAGCACAATACCCGGAACCAAGCTAATTTCAACCTTCCCGTCCACCAAACCTCCAGATTCTCTAAGAAGCCATCCTATGCTGGGTCCAGACTTTTTAACCTGCTCCCAATGGATATCAAAGCCGGCAACCCAGGGACAATGAAGAGAAGACTTCGGAAATGGATGCTCGAAGAGCCTGTTTACAGCATCGAGGAGTTTGAAGCCCGATGTAGAAGAATGCCACTTTAAAAAAAAAGAAGCCAAAGACATAAAAAAAAACAAAAAAAAACATGTATTTAATTTTTACTTTTGTGACACTATTTCTAAGCTCGATGCTTATATAATAAAGTTCTCTCTCTCTCTCTCTCTCTCTCTCTCTCTCTCTCTCTCTCTCTCTCTCTCTCTCTCTCTCTCTTCAATGAGAAGGTAATAGCTTCCCATGACTCCCAAATTACTTTGAAGGGCTTAAACCACATTCCATTAGTAGCATCTTTCTCTTCAGAAAAAAATGTGCTCTACCGAAAATAAATAAAACTATTAACCAATAACTTTTTATACAAGTCACCTTAACAAGATTGGAGATCTGATAGCCTGCGTCTTCGTAATCAAAGCTTGCGAATCCCGAGCTGAGAGACTTAACTCTGTCGTGGAAGTCTACGATGATCTCATTGAGAGGTAGACGAACGCCGAGACTGACTCTTGTGTTGTCCAGGTTGCTCGTACTCTCCAGTGATCCTCGACGCTCAGTACACAGCGTTATCAGGCTGTTCATATATGTGTCTGGAACAGAACGGAAGAACGTTTTACATTCTAGGTTCAGTAGACCTTTTTAATCCAGTCAGCTAGGGATCATACCCTTGGGCAGGCTAAAAATGTTAGATTGATCACTACTTTTCTGTAACCACTTATAAAATAGCTGAGTGAATATTATTAGTCTAAGGAATGTTCAATCCTAAGCAGATTCTGAAGTTTTTTAATTGTTCGAAACTGGACAAATTTTCCACAATCGTTAGCTGCTAAAGAAAAAGCTGATCTTAGTTACTAAGCTGTCATCTCATTTTATTCAACACTCTTCTTTTGCCTTTTGTACATTTTATTTTAATACAAAATTTTGGTTGTAATTTTTTTAAGATTGAAAACTCTTAACCTATCAGCAACCTGCTGAAAGTCAGCAACCTATCTATAATATGTACAAGAAGTTGTCGTCTGGTTCTGATGCTTAAAGAAGATTAATAGAAATTATTAGTGCAGGTACTAAAATAAGCTTAGAATGCCACTTCACCAATAGAATTGCGGGACACAGAGGAAACTTCTATTCCATCTTAGAGAAAATACTGGTCCATCGAAAAGGGAGATTAGATGCCTAGCAAAATCACCAGAGATAATAACAGTGAGCCCACAAAAAGCTGAAACCCCTGGCTCTTATATGACTGAACATTTAGCAATTAAACCTCTATGCAGCTTCTAGCCACGAGTCAGGAATCATAATCCAGCCCTACAGTCTGTATGATGGATCCTGTCTCCTGAAACTCATTAGCCCTGGGGACTGGCCAATGGTTTAAGGTCTGGGCCAGTCTTATAGTCTATATGATGGTACCTGTCTCTTGAAAATCGGTACACCTGGGAACTGGCCAATGGTTCAAGGCCTGGGCCAGTCCCAGGTAGACAGGTTCCATAATACAGACTATAGTATCACAACAGAATTTCAACCAACTCACATGGTGTGATGATGCTCCCCTTGACCACTGGTTCGTGTATCTCCGTGATGATGTCAATGTCCGGCAGCTTTGACGGGTCAGAGATAAGGAGTTCATCTGTCTTGAACCTGGCAATGTTCTTCTTACCTTTGATCTTCACTGAAAAAACAAATCAAAAACTGTTGAAATCGTTGGACAGTTTAATCATTGATTGGAAAGGTTAATTGAGTTTTAGCTTCTAATAAAGTAGAATAGTTAGAAATCATTAATGAAGAAGGAATCGTTGGTTAACTAACTTAATTTTTCTACTACTCTCTTCTACAGAAGTTTCCTTGTAGAGACGAAATACCAAACTAATTTGACTGTGAACTTTTTATGTTCCTTTAAGTGGCTGGAACTCTTTTTTGCGTAAATTTGTTTATCCTTCTTTCTTTATGTATTTTTTAGCCAAGGATTTCCATTTAAAAACTAGAAGAGTGCTAATAATTGCATTAATTAATTCCAGTGTTAAAAATGATCTTCTTAAAACTAGTGTCAGTTGTTATGAAAAACTACGGAATCTCAATTATTTGAAAAATAAATTTAGTAAACAATTCAAATATATTCTAAAAGTTACCAGTGACCTTTATGCGCTTCCAAAATGAAAGTTTTGTTAGATAATCAAGGATTAGGTATCTGCTGGACCCTTGCTACTCGGCGAAGAAGTTTCATGCCTTTGAGAAAGACTTTCAATAATACCTATCACTTTTCTTTTAGCATGATCTTGTATTTGTGTGTGCTTATGGCTTGATAAATTATACAATTGAAACCAAACTGTAAGAATTCAAAGCAAATTCTTACCTTTATAAGGAACGCTAGGGGCAGTCATCAAAGCGTCAGCTCCATATTCCTGCTCCAGTCTCTGGTTGAAGACTTCCAGATGTAACAGTCCCAGGAAGCCTACCCTCCAACCTTGGCCTAAAGCTGGACTAGACAAAGAAAAAATTACCAAAATAGTTTCTTTTAGGACACAAATGGTACAAAACTGGATTATAAATTTAATTTTACTTTTAATCATTTTATTTCACTCATCTTCGCCTATTAATATACACTCTAATCAAATACGTTGGAAAAACCATCAACTTAATTAGGTTTATATCGGAAAAAGATAGAGTCCGACAGCTTATCTCAAATTTCTTGTAAAAGCTTGTAAACCAAATGTATTGTTGTAGGTTTGATGAGAAAATTTATTTGAGATTTTTGTAGAATTAAAACTACGGCTGCCTTTAATCATTGGGTTTTATACATAATCTTGGCTACAAAATCAGCTGGTCGTAGTCAGTAACAAAGCTATAAAATACATTTCTTTCCAGTCTAAATACATCCATTGGTGGGCCAAATTAGCAGGTCACGGCTTTATCACAACGCCAAAAACAAACGGTGATTGGCTGGATTTCACCGGTGGGGCACACGGGAGGGACGATGGCTAACATAGTGTCAGCGTTCGCCGCTAGAACCGCTAAGTTGAAAAATTTAAATTAAGTTAATTTTATAATTTTTAGTTATATAATTAACTTTTTAATTATAAAATTAAACTGTCATAACCTAACCTAACCAACCAAACTTGCTGATAATATAAAAAAGATATAAGATAATAATCAAATAAAGCAAAATCCTTGACAAAAAGTTAGTGTCCTCGACGGGTTTCGAACTCGAGACCTGATCACCAGTCCGAAACGCTACCAACTATGCCACGACCGCTGCTGGAAACACATCGTCTCGTTACGGTAATCCTGCTGCCTCAAGAGAAGACATTAGCCACTATAGATATGACGTCACCACACCTTTAGCCATCGTCCCTCCCGTATGCCCATCCGGGATTTACACAGTACACCAGGTTAAACGTCTGGTGCTCTAACTAATAGGGAAGTTTTTTTGAATTGGTAGCCTCAGGATTATCAAGATACAATTAAAGTGGTTTAAATACCTGTAATGTTGATAACCCAATTGGTTGTGAAACAACTACTTTTGGCTCACAATGGAGCCTTCTTCAGGTTTTCCCAAGAACATTGTCACTTCTTCCGAAGGTCGTCAATTGCCTTTAAATAATTGTCACCAACTTGAACTTTTGACTTTTTTGGTGCTTAACAAAATAATTCAAATTGTGGAAATGTTGAGTCATAACTCCAAAGTTAACTTCACATAACAAACACATATTCAACAATTAATTCTGCTGACCTTGACTCGATGGCGACAGTGACGGAGGGGTCATTGAGTGCAAGTTTCTCGAGTGCGCCACGCAGTGCGTTGTGTTGAGACTGATCCATGGGGTACACGCCTGCGTAAACCATGGGTCGTGCAGGTTTGAACCCTGGCAAGGGTGTTACAGGCACACTGCGTAGATGGAAAGTGTCTCCGATCATAGCCTCGGAGACAGACTTCATGTTGCAGACTAGATAGCCTACCTGGCCCTTCAGTCTGGAATGATAAAGCCAAAGCTATTTCAAATGCTATTACACAAAAGGAAAATTTTTGTCCATTATTGAATCAGGATCTAACTAGTAGCTTGTCTTCAAATATTTTTATTATTTTCTCCACAGGTATATTCCACCCTACTCACAGTTGTTTGGTAGGCTGCTCCTGAGGCCGCAAGATCCCCATTGACTTGACAGTGTAAGTCATGTTGCTATGAGCTGACATAACTTCATCTCCCAGAGTCATCGAGCCATCCCTGATGTACACCAGAGCTATGGGGCCGCGGTACTTGTCAAACCAGCTGTCAAAGATGAGAGCTCTGAGCGGGGCTGAGGAATCTCCAGGCGGGGCTGGCACTCGCTCTATCACAGCCTTCAACACTTCCTCCACTCCGGTACCTTCCTTGGCGGAGATCTGTATAAACAAAATCTTGTCAAACCAGCTGTCAAAGATGAGAGCTCTGAGCGGAGCTGAGGAATCTCCAGGCGGGGCTGGCACTCGCTCTATTACAGCCTTCAACACTTCCTCCACTCCGGTACCTTCCTTGGCAGAGATCTGTAGAAACTAAATCTTGTCAAACCATACCAAGCCATAACCAGAACCATACCAGCCATAAGGCTCTTTTTATGTAGCAACTGGAACTTAAACAGCAATGTTTAAAGAGATAGCTGGTTCTATAATTCCAAAATTATTAAAAATCTTTGTTTTGCTTACTGTGAAAATGCTTATACTTATAAATTCTACATAGCATAATAATCTTAAAGCCATTCAAAAAATTTCAGCCAACCTTAAGAATTTCTGATGGATCAAAACTGAAAAGCTTAGCGAGTTGATCAGCGGCCACTTGCACATCGATATTCTTGACGTCGATCTTGTTGAGGACTGGGATGATAGTCAACTCCCCGTAGAACGCGAGGTGGAAGTTAGCTACAGTTTGTGCCTCAACTCCTTGAGTAGCATCTACGAGAAGCACAACTCCTTGGCACGCAGCAAGAGATCTAACAAATCAAATAATTTCATGATCATTAATCAATACTTCTGAGAAACACCACTTAAGTGTGTATTTTAAGCTTAATATGAATGCAAAATTAGATTGGAATTAAGTGAGATCTGTCTATCTTAACTGACTAAAATCAGGTGCTCTAAGTCACGGCCATTTGTTTTCATCCATTGATCAAGTACAGCTGAACATACCTTAAAATTGTCTTCAGTTAACCTGGGTTTACACAATGCCAAGTAAAGGTGAATAATTTATAAATAAAAAACTGTTTTAAAACAAAACTTTTTTAAATGCGCTAAAAATTAGAAAATAATTTATAAATATGTGGAGAGTATAAATACTTGTAAGATTTAAAACGAAAAACGTGGGGTGCATGCAATAGATAATTTACAATTACCTATTACCAATTACCTATTGAACTAATGTATAATTATCAATAGCATGCACCCCACGTTTTTTGTTTTAAATCTCACAAGTATTTATACTCTCCACATATTTATAAATTATTTTCTAATTTTTAGCGCATTTAAAAAAGTTTTGTTTTAAAAAGTTTTTTATTTATAAATTATTTTCTACTTTTTAGTTTTTAATGTGTGTGGATGTTAAATCTATTTCATGCATCTATATCAGATTAGGACAGAGGCATGTGGGAAATCTAAGGTTTATTTGAGTTCCTTTTCATATAATTATGTATTAGATTGGATGTACGGCCTACCTACTAACTATAAATATAACGGGAGTGTTGCACGACGTCCAAGTGCCACGACGTCCAATAATATTTTTCCAGTGCCACGACGTCCAAAACGTAATTTTTGAGTTGTAGCACGACGTCCAAGTGCCACGACGTCCAAAAGTACAGTAACTGCCAAAAATATAGTCTTTCTACAAGCTTTGGACGTCGTGGCACTTGGACGTCGTGAAACAGCGCACTGTAGAATTGTAAAGAAGTATCATTTGCACCACGTCCAAAGCCTCTGCCAGTTGCACGACGTCCAAGTGCCACGACGTCCAATCAATATTTGACTGTTGCACGACGTCCAAGTGCCACGACGTCCAAAGTGCCTGCACACTGTGAACACTGTTTGCCGACCTCACTGCATACAGTTCGCATTGCAATTATTGAAGGCAACTAGTCCTAGTCAACTGTTTGAAAGTTGTCAACCGCTTCGTCTTCGATTAATGTTTAAATTATTCAATATTCAATGGTTCTAATTGAACTAATTACTGCATTAGCTTAAATTTTTTATATGTAAAATAAATACTATGTCACCGCAAAATGTAATGATGCACTATTTCTGTTGTTATGATTGCATAATTGATTTCTACAAAATAGAGAGCTATGTCATAGAAACGAAATAAATAAATGACTACACTATTCACTATATTGTATGATTAATACAATAAATTAATCACTAGCAAATATGGTAATTAAAATATGGTATATTAAAGTAAATATGGTTGGTTTAATGTGAGTAGTGGTAGAATAATTTTAAGTACTGCAGTAGAATAGAATCGTCATACTATATCAATTGGTAACAAATTTACTCGTAAGATAAAATGTATGCACAGTTTTATAACAGCTGTAAGACTTCCCATTTAAGTACCGGTATTATTGAAATTGTATAACTTCCATTGAACAGAAATGAGATTAGTAGATATATGAACACACAAATATATGAATTTTCATACACTTATAATATGACGAATTCAAAAAAGTTTTATCCGCCAAATGTGCTAAATATTATGTAAACAATCAACTTTTTAAGCTATAATGATGTTACTACAATGGTTAAAAATGTTTCCTGTGAAACAGTGGGAATAATTCGTTTTAAAAGAAATCATTCATCATGGATATAAGAAATAATTAAGAATCTATAATCATTGCCCTATCAACCTAGGCCCTTTTCCTGAGTGTTATGAGGTTTATGTTTTGATTTATTTTTGTGTAACGTAATATAATCCCCCTGCCACAGCAAATCTGTAGACTGAATTTCCATTTGCCTGGTTATATAATTTCACTAAAATATTTAAGAAAATTACCCTATTTTCCATATTTATTTATATTTTCCTATTTTTCCTATTTGTCGGTTTGGAACTATTGTGATAGCTTTTTGTTTACAGTGCAAACCATGGATGTATGGATGTATGGATGGATGGATGGATGTTTGTGACAAGCAAACGCGAAAAATACTTGAAATTTGATATGATGATAGATGACATCCCCGATTAACATATTCTTACCTCAAAAATTCTTTCAGTCTCCACCCCGGTGGCTCTGGCTCTGGACTTTCTCTAGTTAACCTTATGAGAATTCATTTTTAAAGAAATTAAAGAATTTTGTCAGCCGTTTCAACTGTACAAGTTGGTTCTATGATATTAAACAGCATTAAAAAGTTATAAGGCTCGCCAAACAGGGTGCAGCACTATTATGTTGTTTGTTTGCATTAATGACCACAGCTAATTTGAACCAACTAGCAAAAAAAGTTGTGGTACACAATGAGAACTTTACTTTTTTCCATGGTCTAGGTGCAGTGGTAGAACATCAGGATTCAGGACTACGGTAGATGTGTGCTACACAATAGGATACCGTATAATTAACAGACCAGTTTTTTTTTTAAACCGTGTCCTCTCCCATAACTGCGATAGCCTAAGCATTTATACATATATGACAACCCCGTACGAAGGACGGGTATACTCTACTAGTAACACAATAATACAAATACAGTATACTAATACAATAATACTGTAGGTTTCCGTAGTCTGTGGCCATAGGTTCGTCTGAACTGTCAATCAATTCTGAGAAATTCACAGTTGTAAATTCTTACTAGTCTTTTTCTAAGTTCACGTCGCACTCGCAAAGTTCGCATGTTTTATCTAGGAAAGCAGGTATGCCCTAAGTCGTAGCATTTGTAGGTTAAGTATAATAATAACAAACATGCTTATCGTAGGTTTGTAGGCATACTTGTCCAAGAATATGCCGTGGTAGGTTTTGTTTATCAATTTTATGTTTTAATTCTTGTCTAATGACGATATTGATTTGTATTAGTGTGAAAATATTAATGTATTTGTAAAGGGCATGAGCGGCCCTCTAGTCTATGTATATTACATGAAGCACAACATGAAAATGAATAAATTAAAGGAAGGTAAAAAACGGATCAGTTGCTGAAGGTCTAATCAGACCTTCGACACACATTTTGCAGTTTGTACTTGATGCTAAGGATCCCATGAATCCTGTACAAAATTAAAAGAATGTTTTATTCAAACTACAAGTTTATTACTTTTCCGAGAACCGGCCTTTATCAGAACTTCCGCTCCCACGCTAGTTGGCAACATCAACTGTGCTATATATGAAAACAATAAATCTTGAGTAAATATACTGTAATGTTGAATTTTGAGGTTGTGGTGTTCCTTCGTAAACACATTCAATTATAATCTAGGAATATGTAAATTTATTGTTATACGTAAACTTTATTGATATTCGAATCGCTACAGTACTATTAAACCTATAACATTTTCAATTCATGTGCGTTGTATTTTAGAGTTGGGGACTTATTTATATGATACTAGCTGTGTGCCCGTTCTACGCACGGGAGTCAGTTGAAACCTTCTTATATTAAGAAAAGCAGTTGGTTTGCATATTTTCAGATATGCTGGCAAAACTATTATATATACGCCTTCGCAAATACAGTATCTGACAGTTTCAAGCCAAAACAAATGCTTCACAATTAAATGTCACCCGGATCGTGTTGGTCCATATGTTAAATAAATGATTAAATCCAATGATTAAACTAAAAAAAGCTTTATAGGCCTAGATCTATGAGGCATAGCCCTAAGGCCTATAGTTGAAAGTTACTTCCCACAATGGTAAAAGGTATTTAAAGTACTACCTCAACCTCACCATTTAACACTTTATTCGGGTTGACATTTTCACTATCCAGGTGCTCTTGTCCTTTTCGTGACACTGAGAAATAACATAATGCGTTACCAACAGACATACACACAAAAATACAGAACTTAATTAGGGAATTTGCTACGTTTTAAGCATGACAAAGTACATATAAAATTAGAATTTGAAATCTTTGTCAATGTCATCAAATTTTATCATAACAATTAATATTTGCTTGGATCGAAGATAACCCGAAATGCTGTCGAAATGATGGCTTACTTTATAAAATGAAGTACCCGTACTATAGACAATTTAGATTGGTAATTTAACCTATAATAAAAAATACCAAAATAGGCCACGAACTATTGATACATAAACAACGTAAATCGTAAACAACAGATTATGATGGAAACATGATGGTTTGCTAAACAAATGTTTTACTTAAATGAGTTATCATTTTCTTAGCATAAACTAACATTTTGGAATCCAGACAGAAAAAGCAAAACTTATACAGTTAAGAAATCAATTAAATTGAATAAGGCTGTAATACCACTGTATAAATAAAGTGCAACACCAACGATAACTAATTTGTAAATTACAGTGATGTGTTGGTACGTAAAAATGACTCTTGCTGCTACCAACGGTTCTAAGGAAAAAAACCAGTACCAAAAACCAACGTTTACAGTTAAGAATTACGTCCGACAAATTAAATGCGTTAATCAAGTCCCAAGGTTGTTGATTTCTTGGTTTTGGATTTTCTCGTGAAAAGTTTTTGGCAATCAAAATAATTTCCCATTAATTAAGCTAAATTAAGCTTAATTGCTTTATTCGTAAACAACTTTTAATGTAAACTTATTGGTGTCAGTTTGAAAAAAAAAACAACCTTATAAAAACAACTGTTTGTTATTTAATAGATTACGCAGGCCTATTCTCTAAACAATGATTGGTATATCTTTAAACATTAGAATGAAATGTGACAAAAATTACGCAATGCTGGGTTTTTGGACGTTTGTAATTTTATTTCTTAAGGGGAGGCCGTGTATTCTAGGGAAAAGTTCCGGTATCAAGGATCGTCGTCGAAAAGGTTGTTATGAATAATTGGGTAGGCGTAAGTACCCAAGAGATGGGCTATGGGCCTATTGGCTGTATGGTCCAGCGATTGCATCATACGGTGAACAGTAAGTGAGTAGGAACAGAAAGTGACACATTGGAAAAGCGAGTTTAGCATCATCCAAAAACCGTAAACCTCTGTTACAATCATCCACTGCAGTTGGGATTTTTTACTTTACACTTTACACAACCACCATTGAAGCGCCGTCAATGAGTTAGTAAGATTGGTAAGATTGGCGACGATCATTAATACATTCAAGTTTCCCAGCCCTATACAACACTGATTCAAGCTTATCAAAACTCAAGAACAATTTTATACACAAAGAATCTCTGGTTCCTCTGGATGATGTTATTAAATTTTATTTATGGTTACACTATATTATTCCACTTGCGATTAATTAAATCCGTTATGTTAGACAACGATTTTAATCTCACTTGGATGGGCTTTGCCTTCAAAAAGTGATCGGAAATGGTTGTGGTATTTGTAAACATATCAGTGACAGCGAGAAAAAATAATCTTGATCCGAACAGCTGTTCGTTATTTATTTCATAGATCATTATGTGATAAAAATTGGACGAAAACTTGACAAAAATCGCACAAAACTGCATTTGTGAACGTTCGTAATCTTATTTACTAAGTAGTGAGGCCATATTTTAATGGCTAAAGACACTCTCGCCAATCCAGTGAATACATTAAAATGACTTGGATCTTGATAGGTACTCTCGTTTTCCTGGAGAAGATTGCGTAAAATGCCATCTTGAGTGTTACAGAAAGACAGAAAGATAGACAGACAGACAGACAGAAATTTAGATGAGACTTGTTTCGGCTTCTTTAATGTATAAAACGTAAAAATAACCTACAAATGAATGATTCTGAGCAATGTACAGACAAAACTCTAATTTTATTTATATAGATTCTCATTGGTTGCAATTTAATAAGTGGTGTATCAAAACACAAACACAACATTTATTGAAATGAAATTAAATCATTGTTAAGTGAATACTATTAATAAACATATTTGCGACATAAAGACATTTAATTGAAACCTAAAAAACAGTTCGAAAAAGGCATTCTATTCTTTATACTAATAAAAATTAAAATGAGGGTATAAAAAATAGTTTTCAAAGATCATGTTGATCAATGTACATTCATCTAGTCTTGAAAAAATAAGTATTTAAAAGCTTACTCCAAACATAATGAAGTTGATCGGTTGTTAACAAAATGTCAGCATTTTTCAAACAATGTAGGCCTGAACCTTATAGTTTTCCAACTGTTGCCTTGTTTATTTTTTCTTTTTATGTTTTTTTTTTACTTTATGATGTTTCAATTAATGGTTCAAATATTCATAGTATATATATATATTTCTGAACAAGAACATATAACCATGTATATATAACTAATAAACGTTCCATAAGCATTTTACACGAGAGAACACTATTCGGCAAGTCATCATGGAGGAGCTTGGACGTCGTGCAACAGCGCTGAGCTATATTGGACGTCCTGCAACAGTCAAATGTTTATTGGACGTCGTGGCACTTGGACGTCGTGCAACTGGCAGCGACTTTGGACGTCGTGCAACACTCCCGCAAATGTTAATTTTTTACAATTCTATAGTGCGCTGTTTCACGACGTCCAAGTGCCACGACGTCCAAAGCTTGTAGAAAGACTATATTTTTGGCAGTTACTGTACTTTTGGACGTCATGGCACTTGGACGTCGTGCAGGCATGTGGGAAATCTAAGGTTTATTTGAGTTCCTTTTCATATAATTATGTATTAGATTGGATGTACGGCCTACCTACTAACTATAAATATATCAATCTATTTAATTATTGTTTGAATATTAAATAAATAAAAAATGGCATTATTAACATGCACCTTTATATATGCAATCCAGATTGTTTATCTTTATTTTGAAATATTTGTTTGTATAAAGAATCTTTTGGGAGCAGAACCTGTACCTCTTAACCTCTGCTTTTTGAACTGTCAAATTTAAGTATTTACAGCTGACTTTAATTAATTGATATATTTACATTCTTTCAAAATGTAAACATGAAAAATTTGGAAGCCAGTGGGGCGTAGCCCAAGGAAAATATGAAAATTAAATGCTATAATATTGCATTGTCATCCACTTGTGAGCTATGTTTCAAATTTCAACTCTCTAGCTCATCGGGAACTTCGTTTAAAATTGATATCAAAATTTGTAGGAAAGTGAGCTAATAAAAACAAGCCCATGAGGCGTAGCCCAAGGGAAATATGAAAATTAAATGATATAATATTGCATTGTTATCCATTTGTGAGCTATGTTTCAAGTTTCAAGTCTCTAGCTCATCGGGAAGTATAAAAATTTTCAAGAAAGCGAGTTAATAAAAACAAGCCTGTGGGGCGTAGCCCAAGGGAAATATAAAAATTAAATTATATAATATTGCATTGTCTTCCATTTGTGAGCTATGTTTCAAGTTTCAAGTCTCTAGCTCATCGGGAAGTTAGTATAAAATTGATTGCAAAATTTGTACCGGACAAGAAAGCGAGCTAATAAAAACGTTTTAAAATATAGTGGAGCAGCGAGGCTAGATTGAAGCGGAGAGCCTAGCTGGGAATTGTTTTACCCCCGATGGTAGCGGAGCTGCACATGCACACAGTGGAGCGGCAACGGTATAGAGTCAGAGGTTGAATTTTACAATACTTTTTAATATACTTTCAACCTGATTAATCTAGAGCGTAAAATGAAAATGTACTGATTTTGTAAGGAAGTGAATGAATGGTGAAAATATTAAAACACAGCAAAGTGGCCATTCATTAAAAAAACTGCCTACATATTTAAAATAATAATTGCCACGATATATTTATAGAAATTTCTAATCATTGTATAAAAAAAAACTGTTTACAGCATAGATTATATAATAAATATGTTACTTACTGGGAAAATTGTACCTTTTTGACAAATTACACGATATCAATAATTAATACATTTTAATAAAATTATTCCTTTTCCCAAACAGGACAGTGTTCACAAACTGACTTCATTTTTTAGTCCATTTGACCACTGAGGCTCGACCCTTGACTAAACCCTCGAGGTAAATAAATTGGGGTAGAATTTCAGAGCGGAGAGGCTAGCGTGTTGACGAGGGTACCCGCTACGCTCCCCGCTTCACTATGTTTTGGCGCACCTACGTACATCTATGATCTTAAACCCGGTTAGCTGCGCTCTCCGCTACACTCTAGCCTCGACGTTCCACTGTGTTTTCACCCTAAGTGAGACAATTATTAGAAGACAAATGACTGGCATAAAATTATTGGCCTTGTTTAAACACTTTAGGCCAATTGTCTTACCAACTGCTCTCACAATTTCCCTAAAAATCTGTTTTCTAGTAGTCTAAGGACAACTGGCCTCCGACAATCCCGCAATCATGTGGTGACAATTCCAATCGGCAAAGACAACTGTCTCACCAACTGGTATCATGTAAACTTGGCTTTAATATACAAGGATGATAAATCTATAAATCATTGTTTACACGAAGCCAGTTGGAGGACAAGTCACCTACCGCAGCTAACTTAAAAAAACACAAGAGGCAAGTAACCTGTCCTGTGACCTGCCTCATGTAAACGCGGCTTAAGGGAATATTTTCAATATATGCTACTGTATTGCTTAAAATTGTAAATGAAGATTAAACTTTGTCAATCTTGGAAACACTTCTTCTATTGAGCTATTTCTACTTCATGATTAATATACACTACTGTACTTTATTTATAGAGCTTTGTGGATATTTAAAAACTTTTAGCAACAATAACTTCAGTAGAATATAAAAAGTTAATTTGGATGAGCTATAAAATTAAGTACCTATATTGTCAAGACTTGGCAACATTAGTGTCCAAGGGCAAAAATACTTATGATTTAGTCTTTACACAAAGAAACAATAATATTTTTAATCTAGTTCTACCTGGCAACCTCATTGGAGAAGTCAACATGTCCAGGTGTGTCAATGAGGTTCAACAAATACTCTTCTCCTTGGTGATTGTAGAACAATGAGGCAGTCTGAGCCTTCACTGTAATGCCTCGCTCTCTCTCTACCTGCAATCTGAGAACATCGCAATAGGAGAGAACGGTAGAAACTCACGGTATTTATCAATAAATAATAATGAAATTGAGAGAAAAAGGCATCAGAGTAGCAATCCAGCTACCAAGGAATAACATAGACCTTTTAGAGCATAGGCCCTGAAGCCGACTTTTAGTTTCACATAGGTATATTTGATATTTCGGTTGTTGAATTTAACAACGTTAGAATGTAACATCAATGACAAGATTTCATTTGAATCAAATTATATATATGACACTGAAATTAAGATACTGGAGAACGGGTAGCTGATTAGGAATCACGGGTACGACGTCAGCAACAACCACGTTGACCTGCCGGTCTAAAGACAACTTTCATCCAATCAAGTCGTGTCCCACCTATCTACAGTATTATCTTTGTTTTTTCACCTAAATGTTCATGTTTTTACGTCCATGTGGGGGTTCTTTTGATGTGTAAGCTTGGACAACCTTAAAATGAAACCAAAAGAAGACATTTAGTATTAGCCGGAAGATGATTCCATAACTTAAATCGAAACTATTTGCCATAACACAACATTCAAGATTACATAAATGCAGGTATTTTCAGTATATTCACCAATTCATAGTATTGAAATGTGATCAAGAGACTAAAATTCAATAAAATGCATAACTTACCTGTCAAGAACCTGCTTATTGCCAGGGTCGCTCTGTAATGTTCCTGTGACTTCCAACAGACGATCGGCCAGAGTGCTCTTGCCATGGTCAATGTGAGCGATGATACTGAAGTTGCGGATGTTCTTGAGAGGGACTTTGGAGGGATCTTTGTTGTCAATGATTGTTCTGCCACCGACTGCTTGGGTGTCACTTCTTGTTGAGGTTAAACTGAGAAAAGAGAATTTAAAATGTTGAATCTTGGTATTTGAAGAACTACCGCATTATTGAACAGGTGAAAATACTAGCTGTCGTTCTGGATGCAATGTAGCAATCCAGCCTCTGAACAAGCTACAAGTAAACTAAAAATGTTTGGATTTTTTTTTATGCTTGCTCCGAAGATAGACTTCTGCAATGTATCTAAAAAATGTGCCAGTATTTAGTTCAACAACGCCAACAATCATCTTCCATAGCCCAAGGTTAAACCATCTACTTTGAAAACGGAAACTTAACTTAGATAAATCTTAGGCTGAATTTCTGTGGAAGATACAAACACCTGTTGACATTTTATATTAGACTATTTTTAGGTAGTTAAAAACATAAGGAAAGATCACAACACAATAAGCTTGATATTTTGTAATCGCCCCTACCTTCTAAAGAAGCCCCTTGTAAGGGCGAAATATCAAGTTTATAACTTTCTTTGTGCTGTATCACATTTCTTGGGCAAGTTAGTTGTGTATATTATTATTCCATCCCTTCTTTCCTTAATAAATTCCTAAGTCAAGTCTTTTCCCTCCAAACACCTATAAAGCTAGTTTTTGCGTGATTTACTTGACATTTTCTTGTCAAGTCTGAAGCATATAATTTGTGATCTTCTAGATAGACCAAAATACAATATTGAATGTTTAATTAGTTTGTGCTAGCTTAACGAAAAAAGATTTCTTGATGTATTGTACTTAAAAAGGATATGTTTCATCTGTACAGGCTATGTACAGATTAAAATTTTGTTAAGTGACAGCAAAGTTAAGTTAGATTTCAATATATTACCATCGAAATGTGTAAAAAGTTGCTGGAAAAGGGTTAGCCAACTGTTAAAAAATTTTTATCAATCATAAAGAAAGATCAATGCTTACCTTGAAAATAAGATAATCACTGTGAAGATAACATTGTTGTTAGAAGCTGCTTTGGTTTTGAAAGCGAAAATCATCAGTTTCATTTAGTTCTGAAAATTATGTATTACAAACGTGAACTTGGAAATCTGTACAAAACTAAGTGTAGTGTAGATGAGAAATCATATCTCTATGTCATTCAACTATTTCATACATTGAAAAAGTCCAGACAATGTGATCAGTGTAATAATACAGTGAATAATTTGTAAATCTAACCCTACTAGGTTCAAGTTTGAAATCTACGACATACAATTTTTCTAATTTCTGTTTTGCTAAATTTTAAATTGATTATTAACTAGGCTACATTATTTATTTTTTATTAATCCAAATTGTAAATTGCTACTTGTTCTTCAAAGATCGAACCCTAATTATTTTCAAAACTCAAAACATTTCCAAATTTGTTAAAGTTAATTTAAATATTTTACTTACACTTTTAAGTTTTATCCATGCTCAAATGTTTCAATAGTGCCCAGCTTTATGGCATAAACTGCAACATGAAACCATCCATATTCACTGTGTAGCTATTGACTGGACGGTAGATGGCCTGATAAGACCTTATCACTTACATCTCACATCAAAAATTTCTGTTCCCTCACTCCCTAGTCCAAGTTATATTTTATTCACATAGACTAATGGTATTGTTTTATATATTTGTAGGATTCTCCGTTCAGAAAGAAGCCAGTTTTATTGGTAGCTGAAGAAAAAACATAGTTTCCTAAGATCAAGTTTTGGGTGATAATTTCCCATTGATCATAAGTTACTTTTCCTGCTCCCAAGTTTTTTATCTGTCCACCACAATTTTTTTAATGTGTTTCTTCAGTTGAGTAGGTTAAAAAAAAGCAACACTCAACCGTTCAAAAACACTTTGATATACTAAATTATTTGTTTTTTAAGCTCTTTAAAAAGGTCTAGAGATAATTTGGAAAATGTTGTGTTTTGAGGGTCAAAAATGAGAAAAACCAATTTTTACCCCATAACCCCCTCCCCCTCCCCAAAACCCATAAAACTCCGTTCCCATGGTCCGATCATGCTGGTTCGCAAACTCATTCAAGTTTATCCCGCCTTACACCTTTATACAAAATTTCATCAAAATCGACACAAGTTACTCAAGTTATCGCGTTCACGGACACACATATAAAAATTTGAACGAATAGCGTTTTTGGCCTCTGGCGACATCAAAATGAAAAAAGTAAGTCGGTCCCGGGCTCTAGTTTTCCCATGAGACCTACGGTAATAGCTACTTCCCTATAGGGAAATTTGCTAAAAGAAAATAGAGTGAAAGATGTGCATTGAAGTGATTATATAAAACTCAAAAGCTTCATTTCTGACTATGATCAGCTGTTTCTGTAGCCAGGATCGTCTATCAAAGCAGAGGACAGCTGAATCCAGTTTTAACTGTTAAACCTCAAAAAAGCTTGTCATTTCTCAGGATTGAACAAGTGACCTTAAGAGATAGTTAAGTACTAGGCCTACATCCACACAGCTACCTACCCAATTATACTGGCTATTACTGATTTACGATATTAATATAAACAGTAATCGGCAGAACCAATTTTTTAGCATTGAGATAAAAATATCATTTTAACATTTTCTAAACATTTTTTTAGTGCTTACTCTGATTTGTACACCTAAGATATAAAAATAAATAAAGAAGTTATTATTGCTCAGCTTCGTCTTTTTAATAAAATGTTGTGTTCACTTTTTGGGTTTAACATTTACATGAATCTTAAATGCACCCACAACAAGTAAATAGGTGGAAAGCAACTTTTTGTACATGTAATTGAAACTATTTCACTTCTTCCTAAAAAAAGTTTGATCGTTTAAATTGTAGGCAAAGTAAACCGTGATATCTGAAATCATGAACATTTCAAACAATACCTCACATACCGGTAAACTGTTCAAATTTACACTAGTTTACAATATTATAAGGTTGAATAAATCCAAGCAGTGGTTTTAAAATAATTTTACTAACAAAATGACAATTAACAAACAGTATGATATAACCTGGCCAAGTTGTCAAGGTTTTTTTTTATCAAGGGAATATATGGATTTAAATAAGTATTGCAATGGAAACTGAAATATATTCACACATATTAGAGTCCCGCTATTTTGAACTAACTGGGACCGAACCCTCTTCAATAATATCAATAAATCTATTGCAAATCGCCCCAGTCACAATTGATGTGAAACTAAAATTGCAAAAGATGTAGTCATTATTACTGCGACCCCAAAAGAATATGAAAATGTTGCAGTTTATGCGGGAGAGAATAACAACGTTGTCACAATCACAGATGAAAATGTTGCTGCAACATTTTAGTATATCAAAGTGTCTCTATTGTTCATCGAGACATAACTACCTTTTCCAACGTTACCTGTTATACTAATACATTTGACGTTAAAGGTATCATGACCAACCTCCACCGTATCTCCGTCGTTCGCTGCATTATTGCCAGCTTTGTTTAACATTTGTGATATCATAACTTGAATTTTTGAAAAGGAATGCCAACATTTGACATAGTCAGCTGCGGACTAACATTTCAAAATATAAATAATTTTCTAACTTTAGTTCGAAATAGGTGGATTTTAAGAACAGCAGAATTAAAATGCATAAAGTTTATGTTTGTAACTTTAAAATTAAAAAATACCGTACATTGAAATAAATGACTCTTGGTATTTTAAACCTTTAATGTCAACAAAAAGCTATGTGGCTGATTAAGAATGCATTTCTTTCAGTCCAATAAAAAGTATTTAAAATCGTAAATTTTCTATGATTGATTCTTAATAATGATACGAGGAATAGGAGGCATCGAGTAACGAAACGACTCGTCCCAATAGGTATTGATTGATCAGATGACTCTTTAACTACGCCACTCGTCACATATTTTACTCATTACCAAGACAACTCAGCCATAACAATAAAAATCTGTAGCACTCGCTACCGTTTGAGCACCTCAATAAAAGTATCTCTCGGTATATTGATGTTGGCGATTTTCTGCATCTTCTTCTTCCCCTCAGACTGTTGTTTTAACAGCTTTTGTCTTCTTGTTACGTCACCTCCGTACTAGAAAAAAGCAACAATTGAAATAATGCTAAAATCTACAGCTTTGCATTTTCTTAATTTACTGACTGATAGGAGTCCGAGAAATAATTAATTTTTCAAAGTTTTATTCCTTTTGGAATTAATAACCGAAAAATTAGTTTTTTGCTGACATTATCTAGATTCAGGTAAATGTTATTTGTAAACTTACCAGCTTAGCTGTGACGTCTTTCCTAAAAGCCTTGAGGTTTTCTCTGGCAAGTACTTTTGAACCTATCATAGCTTGGATAGCAATCTGAAAACCAAAAAAGATCTTAGGGAGGTAACATTCCTAGACGTAAACTTAAATGTAATTTTAAATACAATACCCCTGATGCAGCAAACCTGCAGAATAAGCAAAATTACTTTTGCACAATTAAAATTTTACTTAAATATTTCCTTAAACAAATTATATTTCTAATTTTTATAGCATTAGCTTTACCGCTAAGGAAGGAAAAGAGTTTTTTCCTCAAATATCAAGAGTGTAGTATGAAATGAATAAATTTGCCAAATTTTATCAAAATATATCCATAAACAAACAAGGTAGCACAATTTACACTCATTTTCTCTATCTACACTAATCCAGTGCAGTTCCGGCACAGGTCCGTCAGTCGTTAATGCATTCACACCGGCATCAGTCAATCAATTTCAGATTTCTTCTATTGATATTTTTGGATTGTTCGGACACCTGACAGTTGTGCGACGTATGTGTTTGACGTAAGTTTGTTAGGTTTATGGTACATTTCATTACAGATGTTTACTTTACCATCTTGTGTCATCCTAAAATAATTAAGGAACCTACTATAATCTCCTATTAGCATAAAAAGGGTTGCTTTAACATCACTGCAAATATCATTTAGTGACAGAAGACTGAATGGAACCAACTGACAGACAGATTGACGAATTTCAGATGCAACTGAGACTGAACTGTGACTGGACTGATGTGTGTGAACTGTGAATCGACCTTTAAGGGTAAAGATTTGGAGGGTAAAACAAATTTTGAAACCCTATAATGTCCTGTTTTCATGACACATGAGTTCACAGTCTCATTACAGTTAATACCGCCCTACACGTTCATGCCAAATTGGATCAAAATCGGACCAAAATTACTCAACTTATCGTGTTCACGGTCATATATAATAATTTGAACAGATACTGATTCAGCCTCTGGGGACAGCAAAATGGAAAAGTAATTCGGTCCCGGGTCTAAGTATTACTGCGCTACCAATGGTAATAACTACTTCCTTTGAGGGAAATTTGTCAATAAAAAAGATTTCAATAGCTTTTAGAGTATAGAGTTATCCTAGCCTTTAAGATCTATCCTATTTGATTTCTAGTAAATTTGGACCAACACATCTTAAAGTGGGCTCCGAGCCACTGAGCTATAATAACGTTATCTCATAGCCAAAAAGCATTGGTGATTGGCAGGATTTGAGCCTGTGGCCCTCAGAACAGAAGTTCGGCTTTCTAGCCACTAGACTTGCAGCACAAAAAATATTTTATTAGATGTCAGTAAATGTGTGTGAGGTGAGGAATTTATACGCAAAGGCGTTTTGCAACTAAAACTCATCCTATATTTTGTCAGCTAAATTCAGCGAGTTTATTAGTCGTTGACTAGAATTGTAACGTTATTTACTTACATGAATCATTTGTCTCGGTATGATCTCCACTAGTTTTGCCACCATACGTTTGGCATGAGTCGTCACTTTGGTGGAATGCACTATCGTAGACAACGCATCCACTACGTTACCGTTCAAAGCAATGTCCAGCTAAAAAAACAATCATGATTACTATACAGTATTTTTATTTATGGAGATGTTCAAAATCAATAATTGTGAATCATGAAACTATAACATAAACGAACAAAAATCCTTACATCCTATACTCTAATACGAGCAAAGTTTGCTTGTATGTATGCTTGCACAAAGATCTTGAAAACGGCTCCGACGATTTTCTTTAAATGTTGTATATAGTTTATTTCTGGCCTAAAAATGAGTTTACTGCAATTAGAACTGCCAACAAAAATCTAATTACGTAGAAAAATGAAACTGAAAATCACATTTTTTTAACATTAGTCTTGTGGGTTGCTTGGTAACCATGTTGGCTGAATTAAATAACAAGGAAAAAGTAAACAAAAGACTTGTAATTTGTTTATCCACAGTATACTAGCAAAACAAAATACAGTACAAAAGGAAAAACATCAGTTGTTACTATTTAGCAAAGATTATACTGAAGATTACTCGATTCTATAGTCAAGGGTAGCAGTGTGGAGTGTAGGATCTGTTTATGACGATTAGATTACGGTATCTGCAATCCTTAAATGCTATGGAAAGGGAGGAAAACAGGTCCACGACATAGGAAGTGGTGAAGGAAGTAGTAAAGGTGAGCAGTCTGGAGTGTGGGAACTGTTTATGACGATTAAATTAAGGTATCTGCAATCCTAAAATGTAATGGGAAGGGAGGAAAACAGGTCCATGACGTAGGAAATGGGGAAGGAAGTTGTAAGGCTAGCAGTGCAGAGTGTGGGAACCGTCTGTGGCATTTATGTATCTGCAATTCTAAAATAGTATAAGGAAGGAGAGCAAACAGGTCTACGACATAGGGAGTGGTGAAGGAAGTAGTAAGGGTGAGCAGTCCGGAGTGTGGGAATTGTTAATAACGATTAGATCAAGTTATCTACAATCCTAAAATGCTATGGGAAGGGAGGGAATCAGGTCCGTGACGTAGGAAGTGGTGAAGGAAGTAGTAAAGGCGAGCAGTCTGGAGTGTGGAAACTGTTTATGACGATTAGATTAAGGAATCTACAATCCTAAAATCCTATGGGAAGGGATGGAAAGAGGTCTGCGACATAGGAAGTGGTGAAGGAAGTAGTAAAGGTGAGCAGTCCGGAGTGTGGGAAATGTTTATGACGATTAGATTAAGGTATCTACAATCCTAAAATGCTATGAGAATGGAGGGAAACAGGTCTGCGACGTAGGAAGGGTGAAGGAAGTAGTAAAGGCAAGCAGCCCGGAGTGTTGGAACTGTTAATGACGATTAGATTAGGGTATCTGCAATCCTAAAATGCCGTTGGAAGGGAGAGAAACAGGTCTGCGACGTAGGAAGGGTGAAGGAAGTAGTAAAGGCAAGCAGCCCGGAGTGTTGGAACTGTTAATGACGATTAGATTAGGGTATCTGCAATCCTAAAATGCCGTTGGAAGGGAGAGAAACAGGTCCGCGACGTAGGAAGTGGTGAAGGAAGTAGTAAAGGTGAGCAGTCTGGAGTCTGGGAACTGTTTGTGGGAGTTACATTAAGGTATCTACAATCCTAAAATGCTACGAGAAGGGAGGAAAACAGGTCCATGACGTAGGAAATGGTGTAGGAAGTTGGAACGCTAGCAGTGCAGAGTGTGGGAACTGTCTGTGGCATTTATGTATCTGCAATTTTAAAATGGTATAGGGAAGGAGGGCAAACAGGTCCACGACGTAGGGAGTGGTGAAGTAAGTAGTGGAGGTGAGCAGTGTGGAGATTGGGAGTGGATTAATGTATCTGCAATACTTTTCAGAGTAAACTAATAATTTTCCCCGAGCAAAGCTCGGTCCCCAGGTACTGTTTGGTTATGTATGAAATAATAACTGTGAACAGTTGTGCGATTACTACCATGCTTTTCTTTTTTTTACTTTTTACAGTGTGTATGGAGGCTTTACATCCGTGTTTACATGAAGCCATTACCAGACAGGTTACCTGCCTCCCTTACTGTATTTCAAGTTACCTGAGGCAGATAACCTGCCCGTGTACAAGCTTCATGTAAACACGGATTTTTGGATGAAAATAGAGTGGAGTGAGATGCCTTTAGCAGATTTGTTACTGACTAACAAATCTTTTTTTTGATCCAAGATGGCTGCTAGTACTAACAATTCAGTAGTTTGCTCCTCATTTAAACTAGTTTTATAAAGTTTCATTAGTATTTTGTGATTTCTGAGTGATACGAACTTAACCTACAAGTTACAGTGAGTCATATAACAGCTAGGGACTCTATCTTTTCACATTCATACTTACAATCCATCCAGTTTTAGTTTTATTGTGCTTGGATTAGGGCTGTCTAAGTTTGCCTTCAAATTTAATCATTTCATGTTAGAACATTAAAATAACCGCCAATTTCACATCTGACATTTCATAACCACAAAACACACTACCCACTGTCAGTGCTGTCAACAGAATCACATTTGTCATCTGTCCAAGAGTTGGCTTACAACCTTCAGCTTGTGCAGTCAGTTCTAAGCATAATAGACCTCATCCTCGACCAAGAGTTGGCTTACGACCTTTTACTTGTGTAGTCAGTTCTCAACATAATAGACCTCGTCCAATAGACCCTCAACCAAGAGTTGGCTTACGACCTTCAACTTGTGTAGACAGTTCAAAACATAATGGACCTCATCCTCAGCCAATAGACCTTCAACCAATAGTTGGCTTACAACTTTCAACTTGGGAAGTAGTTTCTCAACAGAATAGACCTCATAGCATCTAAGTCTCATTTTTTTTCATTGCAGCAAAACCAATCCAGTATATTATTGAACAGTCAACCCAAAAATCTTGCACAATTTACCCTTTACTTAAGTGTTGGTAAAGGGTAGATAATGGATAGACCTAGAGTGTACAGTTGTGGAGTCTGCAACAAGAACGCCAAAAGTAGTGCCATACTTTGCACAGGTCCCTGTGGTAAATGGATCCATTTCAGATGCATAAATTTGACATACTCTGATGTAAAAACGATGTCCAAATTAGAATTAGGTAAATGGAATTGTCCTTCATGTATAAACGGTTTGGCTACTGAAACATCTAATATCAATGTGGAAAATGAGTTTGTTGAATCTGAATTAAACCTTTCCCTCGCTGCTGAAATTGGTGGCGCTATCCTCCAAGAAAATGAAAACTTGAAACAACAGTTGCATGAAATGAAGAATAAAAAGTCTTTCTATGAAATGGAACTTGAAGATAAGTTGCAGCAAAAAGAAGTTGACATAAGAACAATGACTTCAACTCACAATGAGAGAATAGAGGAAAAAAATGCACTGATTAAAACTCTTGAGAGTAAGTTAAGAACCGAGTTTCAGCTTAGGGAAGAGCTTATAAAACATGATGAATCGAACAAATGTACTAAAACTAAACCTGTATCTAAAGACTATCAAACACAAATTATTCTACAAGAATTAAATCTAAAAAAACAGGAAGTAAACAATCTTAATGCTATTATTAAAGTGTTAGAGCAAGATAAAAATACCCTAGAAAGTGAGGTATCAAATCTCCGTTCTCAGAACTCTAATCTGTGTTTGCACTGTTACCCAGTTTTAAAAAACGTTCAGAGTAATGATAGGAGGGTATTACAAAGGCCAATTCCAACTCAAAATGAAAGTCTATCATTTAATATTCCATGTAGTAATCGTTTTGATATTCTTACAGCACATGATGCTAATGTAGCAGAAAACGATGACAGGAGCGATATTTGTGCTATTGGACCTGACTCTTCCGCACCTGAAGTCACCAATAAGTTTATTAGTAAGCCTGTGAAGAAAAAGATTTCTGGAAGGAAAACATCATCTAAACTGACAGCTTTCAAAGATACCCATTCGAATCAGGCCTACAAAAAAGCAGAAGACAATCCAAAAAAGCCTGATTATAGGATGTTGGTGTGCGCTGATAGTCATGGACGTGAGTTATCTCGGAACATAAATAATATTCTTCAGTCCCACGAAACGGTGGCCTTTGTAGCTCCTGGTGGGGGGGCGAAGCTTGTTCTTAACCCAGCAAACCTGAGGGGTGAGAAGCTGACAGAGGAAGATGTATTAGTAGTTTTGTGCGGGACTAATGATGTTTCACGTAATGAAGCACATGAAGCTATAAGTATAATAAAGGATGCTCTTGACGAACACGTTAATAAACATATAATTTTGGTGAATATTCCTCATAGATATGATCTTGCAGAGTGGTCGTGTGTTAATGAGGAAATTCGGAAAACAAATAGAATCCTGAGTGAACTGAGCTGTAATTACTCCAATGTAAAGATGGTAAATGCATATGAAGCAGGGAGGCACCTTCATACCCACCATGGCTTGCACCTGAACAACAAAGGTAAACTATGGTTATCCCAAAAAATCTGTGGGATAGCAAAGTCTTTTTACGCTCCCATGGAGAAGATCGATCTTCAGACCCATAATCCATTGTCAGAAGTTCCTAACATGGCTGCTGTACATATTCCTGAGCCCAACCATCCACTGGAGGAAACACTGCCGGAACCATTAGTAAGAAAATCTAACACAGAAGAGCCTGGTGGGTCTGTACCAGTGATGTCAAGATGCCCTCAGAGACCAGGAGATACAAGCCAACCACCTCCTCCAGGAACAGAGTTGCTGTCGGGAAACTCCACCCCACCGGCTTCAACGGTTCATCGACAACAACTAGACCCTCTGACCCACCCATAGATTTAATACATTTTACTAGTTGTGATGAAATTAGCTTAAGTAAGTCCAGCAAATGTAATAATGTTTTAATAAATGGTAGAACTACAAACAAGAAAAAAATCAATAGTTTTACAGGTAATAAAAGTTATAATAATGTTCACACAAAAAACACTGTAACAATTTATCACCAAAATTGTCAAAGCCTTCTGAATAAAGTCAATACATTGGAATTGATTGCAAAAGAAATGAATTTAGATTTTCTTTGTGTAACTGAACACTGGTTAAAAGTTAATGAAATCAACATATGTTCAATTAGCGACCTTCATCATGTAACTAGCTATTGCCGAACTTCTAGAATTCATGGGGGCTCAGCAATTTTTTCTCGCTATGACCCATCATGTATCAAAGTAATGGATGATATGAATAAATTATCTGTTGATTTAGACTGTGAAATAGCAGCTGTTGAAATAATAAACATGAATTTATTGCTAGTAACCATATATCGTAGTCCTAATGGAAATGTGCAAAATTTTTTTACCATCTTAGAAAAGTTACTAAGTCAAATCAATCGGCAGAAAAAACAGTCAATTGTATGTGGCGACTTTAACATTAACTTTCTTAGTAATGATAGTGACTCTGTAAATCTTTTAAACCTTTTTAGTATGTATGGGTTGCATATGACAATTCATGAGCCTACGCGAGGTAATAATTGTTTGGACAACATATTCACCTCATTAGAAAATAATTATACAGCCTCTGTGGTTAATAAACATGTTAGTGATCACCTTGCTCAAGTTTTTACTTATAATTATAGGGTGGAAGAGAAGGATTACTTTCCTGTATGTAAAGGTAAAACGGTCACAAAAATAACTGAGGCTGGTATAAGAGAACTCAAGTATTATTTAAGAAAAGAAAATTGGAAAGAGGTATTTTACATTAACGATGTTAACTTAGCATTTAGTAGTTTTATAAATATTTTGTGTTTTTATTTTAACCTTAGTTTTGTAAAACATGTAAAAAAATGTCAAAGGAAAAAGAAGACCTCCAACAAATGTTCTTGGTATAATTCAGAGCTACAAAAACTTAAAGAAAGATTGGATTCTCTCTACCATTTATATAAAGACACAAATGTTGTTTGGTATAGAAATGAGTACAGAAAACTTAAAAATGTGTATAGATGTAAGATTAAAAATGCCAAAAAAAGGGAAAATGCTAATGCCATAGAAAACGCCAAAAATAAAACAAAAGCTTTATGGAATATTGTAAATAAACATAAAAATAAGTCAAGCAAATGTAGAGTAGATAATTATTTTAAGTCAGATGAATTTAATGAATATTTTGTGAATACTGCCTGTGATAATGTAAATTCTAGTCAAAATGTAGGAATAAGTAATTGTTGTAACTTTACTCATTATTTAAGGAAAAAAGTAGTACCTGATAGTGTTAGAGATTTAGTTTTTAAATATGTGACGGAAAATGATGTTTTAGATGTAGTAAAACAGTTAGCTCCAAAAAAAAGCACGGATCATTTTGGAATGACAAATGCTCTCATTAAGGAGACCATACCTTACTTAGTAACCCCATTAACAATTTTGATTAATAACTGTATGGCTCAAGGTGTGTTTCCTGATATCATTAAAATAAGTAAAGTTCATCCTATTTACAAAAAAGGAAAAAAAGATGAAATAGGTAACTATAGGCCTGTTGCCATTGTTCCTGTTCTGTCTAAAGTTCTTGAAATAGTTATTGGTAAACAGTTAATGCAATACTTAGAATCAAATCAACTCCTTTGTACAGAACAGTTTGGATTTCGTAAAGGGCTTTCAACGACACATGCCATTACTTCCTTGGTTGATGAAATTCTCGACTGTTATGAAAATAAGGATTTTGCTGCAATTACATTCTGTGATCTTAGTAAAGCTTTCGATCGAGTATCACATGAAATTTTGTTAAAAAAATTAGAATATTATAACATTAAAGGTAAAGTGTTAGATTTATTTAGATCTTATTTGTCAAACAGAACACAGTATGTAGTTTTGGGAGAGGATGCATCATCTATTAAGCCTGTGTATTGTGGAGTTCCCCAAGGATCTGTGCTTGGGCCTCTGTTGTTTTTGGTAGTAGTTAATGATTTAAGTGTTAATATCCCTGCAAATATTGTATTATATGCCGACGACACAACTATCATTACTAGACATGCAGATCATGAACAACTTTTGGTTGACTCTATGCATAATCTAAAGCTAGCTGAAAACTGGTTAATTTCTAATAATCTTGTTCTAAATAATGATAAGACAAAAACTGTTTTGTTTAACCTTCGTGAAGTACACAGTAGGCCAATGGATGAGAGAAATCCAAAATTTTTAGGATTAACTTTTGATTCTACTTTGACCTGGCATGACCATGTTATAGTTTTAAAAAATAAACTGAGTTCAAGTATATTTGCTCTTAAACAATTATGTGGCGAACTAGAACGGCCTTCTCTCATACAGGCATACTATGGACTTTTTCATAGCCATATAAGCTATGGGTTGCTTGTTTGGGGGTCTTCTGCTCATGCAAAAGAAATTTTCAATTTGCAGCAAAAGGCAATTAGGGTAATAGCTGCTGTAGATAGGCACCATGATTGCACTGAATTTTTTAAAGAATACCAAATATTAACACTGTTTTCTCTATTTATTAAGCAATGCCTGTTATACTTAAGACCACAATTAGATAAGTTAGATTATAGGAGAGATATACACTGCCATAATACTCGCCATAAATGTAATATAAATCTTCCTTATGTTAGACTTGCTAAAACTGATAAAAAACCATTAATTTTAAGCAGTAAATTTTACAATAAGTTACCAATAGCCATAAGATTACTTAATGATAAGGATTTCAAGATTAAAATAAATAACTTTCTTTGTAATCAGCCATTATATTCAATAGAAGATTATATGTCAAGAACACTGACTCCACTAGATTTTAATTAATGTTATATTTTATGACTAATTTGACGTGCCAATGTATTTGTATGGAATATTAACTGGCAAATAAAAATCTCATTCTCATTCTCATTCTCATTCTCATTCTCATTCTCATTCTCATTCTAAGAGCAGCTGTTTCTTATGTCAGGAATATTTAATTGGAAGTCCAATAACCAAGGCCAACTGAGTCCAGTCTAGAAATATAAAAAAGTGTTTGACTTCACTCAGGATTGAACCGTCAACCTTTCACCTACTAGGCGAGCACTAGAACCTCTCATCCACCCAGAAATTACATTAGGCATCACATTCACACTACACACCTTATTCACTTCAAAATACAAGTGTATTCGTAACATCATTATGTCAAAAAAAATTTAGAAAATACAATACAAATTACCTTGACGAGAGCAGATGGCGTGTAACCTTGGTCCTCGTAGTCAAAACTGGCGAACCCCGACGTCAGGGACTTAAGTTGATCGTGGAAGTCTACGATTATCTCGTTGAGTGGTAGAAGGAACTGAAGCATAACCCTAGAGTCGTCTACTTTGGTGGAGTTTTTCTGAATTCCTCTACGCTCCATACACTCGGAGATTATCTTGAACATGTACTCCTCTGTGAAAACATAGAAAATTACGATCGTGAGAATAAAATTAATTGTTGAATGATAAGGGTCCCCTGTGGGTGCCTTGGCATTTGGAGGAAGGGTTCAATTCCTCACAATGACTCAACACATTATACAACAATATAGCATTAAAAAATATATACCATCAGCTGACCTTGAATTTTTAAGTCAGTATACGAAGAAAACAAGAATTTAATCACGCCAATACAATGAAAAATTTTACACCCAAGTTAGCAAGATAGCCAACAACTTTAACTTGACATCCATGCAAATAAGTCAATCAATGAATTATGAGCTTTAATACATGTAAGGGGTAGCGGATTTCTACCCCCGGATATTTACCCCCATTAAAAAACGCCTACGTCATTTTTACGTCACGAGGGGCGGGGCTTATACACGTTCGAGAAACAGCCCGCGACTGGAAATCTACCCCCGGACATCTACCCCCGGACATCTACCCCCGGACATCTACCCCCAGACATCTACCCCCGGACATCTACCCCCGGAAATCTACCCCCATTGGTCAGCTCTTCCGCGTATCGGCCAATATTCATTGTGTTGTATAATTGATTTTATAAATTGCTTTACCTTCTTATATCCAGTAGTAAACATGCGATATGTCGATGTCTGTTTTAACATTATCCATATTTATAATTCAATAAGTTGTAACAGTCCTTTTCAACCCGACCTACTTCACTGATTTTTACGATTGAGGTGTCTTTTAAAATCTTAAGATCTAGCGCAGCACAAAATGGTAATTAAAAGGATATTTCGATTATGGCTTCAAAATGTTGACCCCTAAGCCTTTGATTTATTCCTAGAAGGTGCTTCCAATGGTTGACCAACTTTTACTCTTTACAGTAACAGTTTAAAAGTGAAATGTGAGGAGTACTCATCAGATCAATTTTTAAGTCAGGTTGTGAAAACATGAATGATCGTCTGCAACTGTAAACAGGAGATGAAAAAGTTATGAAAATAATATAATATTGCGCACTTTTCACATGGTCAAGTGTTACATCGTACTGAACCATTGTTTTTACACACATTTCTTAAAGGATAAAGTGAATAAACTGTGGTGACCTTCCGGTTTATTCAATGTAGGCCTAGTAGGAATAATTGTTTAGTAAAACAAAACTCAGTTGTAAACTGTTAAATTGAGAAAGAGGATCAATAAAAGTCAGGTGTATAATGGTAAATGTTTCATATCATCTAGTAAAAAAAATAGTTTCTAAGATTTAAATGCGTACTAAGAAAGGATTTAAAGTATTTTCTCTTAAAAACCTAAAATAAGACAATTCAGTTGTAAACTGTTAAATTGAGAAAGAGGATCAATAAAAAGTCAGGTGTATAATGGTAAATTTTTCATATCACCTAGTAGTAAAAAAATTTAGTTTCTAAGATTTTAGATGCGTACTAAGAAAGGATTTTAAAGTATGTTCTCTTAAATACCTAAAATAAGACAATTATTCAAATTCAAAATAATGGCCACATTCAATTTTTTAAGCATAGCCTAACATCTTTTAATATATATATATATATACGCCTAAATACCCCCATTGCAGCACATTCGCATATTCAGAGCATGTATAAAGTCTTATTGGAAAATTCTGCCTTAAAACAAAACTTGTCAACTTATGTCCATAAATAAGTTTTCAAAAGATTCATTCATAAGAATACAAAATAGGAAGTGAATAAGCAGGTTTCCTGTTAGTAAAATGTTAAAATGAGGCATTTTAAGGTAGTATACAGAACAGAATTAGGTTAAACCCGTCGACACTGACGGTTACTTTCAAGGCTTATGCTAATTCATTTTATAACTGCGATAAATAGATTGAAGTAATACAAATTTTGAGCATTTAGCTCTTTAACTTTTTTGATGAGTAATAAGTGTAAAAGCAATAATGACTATTGCGTTAGTTACAAAATATGGTTGATCATTCAATGAATAAAATATTTCCCATACCGTACGTCATAACAGTTATTATTACAATGTTAACCGGTTTCTCTTCTTTTGGAAGAACCTTTAAATAGTATTAAAATCGTATTGGTCAATCTTTTGTGATAAACACTTCCGATCCGCGCTCATGCATGCGCTGTTAGCTGTTACTGTATGTGAAAGTTTGTCAACCATTTAAATCACTGTCTGGAAATGAATCAAATGCTTAAGGGTCACACTTTTGAAGCCCTTTATCAACATATGGTTTTAAATACCATTTTGCGTTGAGCTGAATCTTAAGATTTAAAATTAGACCTCAATCATAAATATCAGTGAAGTAGTTCGGGTGAAAAAGGGCTGTTACAACTTATTTTATTAGGAAGATAGATAATGTTAAACAAGGCAATGACATATCACATGCTTAATACTAGATATTAGAGGGTAATGATTAACCGAAGAGACGTTGATTTACATAAAACAATTAATAAAATCAATTACAACAATGAATATTGGCCGATACGTGGCAGAGCTGACCACTGGGGGTAGATTTCCGGGGGTAGATGTCCGGGGGTAGATGTCTGGGGGTAGATGTCCGGGGGTAGATTTCCAGTCGCGGGCTGTTTCTCGACCATGTATAAGCCCCGCCCCTCGTGACGTCAAAATGACGTAGGCGTTTTTTCATGGGGGTAAATATCCGGGGGTAGAAATCCGGCGACCCACATGTAAAATACTGTATCGCTCATTTTGTAATCAATGGTTCTACACTGAGGACCCTGTCAGCTATAAAATGACCGATCGGCAATTCTAGGGTTAGTTTGTAATATTACATGTCATTCATTCATCATTAACATTAATTTCTCTTTTATTTTGTATATTTTCTCTCATAATGTCTGTTAATGCCCCTGATAATGTATTATCAGTTATTTAATATGTCCCTCCTTGTTAATGTGTTATTTTATCCAATTTTGTTCAATGTTATATAATATCCCATCACCCCACAGAAACATCATCCTATTTTATGTTACAATATAATATTTATGCAAATTATCTCCATTCCTATTAAGTACTCATCAAAAACCAACAATAATCATTTATTTAGAATAATATACAATTGTAAGAAAATTGCAATATAATAATAACATATCAAATATAGTATTATTTTTCAAAATTATCCAAAGAAAATCAAAATTACTGTGGCAAGTGTCATTCATGTGAATTAACCAGCTGTACATCACTTCAACAATGGACATGGACTTCCTGAGCTTCTACCATTGCCTCTCCCCAGATCCTGCCAACTCTTCACAGTGTGAACATCATTCTACTGGAAATTGTGTTTAATTTAAACTAAAATTCATAATCCCAAAGTAAAACCTAAAATTTAAATTTCTCACCATCCAAAAGTATTGGACAAGTGCATTGAAGAGTACAAATTTATAAGAAGACAGACACTCCAAATTTGGTAACCATCATCCATCTTATTTAACTAAGGACAAATTTAATCTTCATTGGACATTTAATCAGCATAGCCTACTAGGCCAAATTAACTCAACTCATCAAGATATATACATATTTCAAATTGAACTTTTATTCAAAATTTAATCTTCAAATTCTATTTTATTTCATTAAATTCAGTGAAACCATTTGGAATCTTTCTTTGGACATTAACATTATTATATTAATAGCATCATGAACCTAGCTTAACTTATTTCAGAACAATAACTAAATTAAATTATCTGCATTTTAAAGAAGCCTAGTATATCATTCGAACCGGCACGACCACCCCTCCCTAAGATTAAGAGGTCATCTATTTGAATATTAATTAGTACTTAAGAAGAAACCAACCCAATATAGGCCTAAGCCTAGAGAATCTTTTCATCCACTTTGGAACCCCACCATTTTGAAAATTTATCATTGTTAACTTACCCTGTAGCTAATTCAACCAATAACTTATCTTTTGTATTTCATTAATAAATTATATATTGTAACTTACCAAATCTATTTATTCTTAGAATAATTCATAATAATTATAAGATTAAGACAAAGACTTACCTTATTAGACAGAAATAAAACACAAATTAGGAATTATCTTTATTAAGAAAGAAATGACTTCAAGTTCAATGTGGGCTAACTCATTAGCCAAAGGAATTTTGTAGGCTTAAGTTTATGAAAGTCTATAGAAAGCTTTATGGTGCGTAGCAAATTTGGCGCCCAACGTGGGGCTTTCGAATGATATATTACGGTAGTCATAAAATATTGCAATTTTCGATTTAGGCTAAGTTAACCTTAAGTTGTACTAGATCGTAAGAACCCATAGCCTATTGTACTGTACGTCCCGTAATTAACATTCCCTAACCCCAATAACAATACAAAACCGTTATACAAAACACTAATTAATCACGCACAATTCGCACAATAATTAATCATGGCCGAGAAAGGTTATAATTTAAGACCCAACCGTAAAAATTCTAACCTAAACCCAAATTACGACTACGACTACAACAACACTGACAGCGAGAGCGAGATTGAAGAAGAAAGTCGCCATCTTGATGACATCACACGCATAGACACAGAACAAAAAACACATCTACAGCAGACATCAGAACACACAGAGGAAGGAAGCAACGAGTCCATGGACCAATCAGACACTAGTATTCCCATTCCTACAAGTCTGTTTGCAAATGTTGCCACTGAACTGTCCAGTAAACAAAGTCTGAATGTTTCCAAAATGCCAGGTGATAGCCAAGGTCACATTAGCGGATCAATAACCCAGACACCCGCACCCGAACACAGCCGATCGTTACCGAATATAGCCGACGCCGACGAACGTAACCTAGACCTAACAACACGGCAACGGAACAACCCTAGTGCAACTGTCGGTGCAACAGCAACTGTCACATCAACACTAATTGCACCATCAGATATTAATACTTTAATTGCCCTCATGACTAAACTAGACACTAAATTGAGCAACAAAATTGACGAATCTCATGCTAAAATTGACAGCAAAATTAACGAATCCCATGCCGAAATTAACAGCAAAATCAACAGCAAACTCAATGAATTAAAAGTTGAACTCACTCAAAGCTTCAATGATAAAATTGATGCTAATAGCCTAGAAATTCAAGCTTGCAGAACCGCGCTAGAAACTCAAATATCAGAAAATCGTGAAAGTCAAAATAAATTCCAGATCGAAATAAACTCAATTAAGATCACTCAGACAACACAAGCTGAGGAAATGATTAAACTCAACGAGAAACTCACACAAAAAATTGATGAATCACAAGATCAAATGAGACAATTCGTCATTGATAATCTTACACAACAACAATCAATATCTGATAATAAAAATCAACAGAGACAAAATGACATCCTATCTGCTGTCAAAACACAATTGGTAATGCATGAACAGAATTTTGACCAAAAAATTGAAGAACTTTCTCAACGAACCAGGCAAGAATCCGAACAGAATTCTAAAGCTAATTTGGCTATTATACAAAACGAAATTCTCCCAAAACTCACCATCCAAAACAAAACTTTAGAATCTCAGCAAGCTGAAATACAAAATTTAAATCACAATCTAATGAAATGTGAACAAGAAGTGGAAACCCTCAAACAGAGCAAAACATTTGAAAACTTCCAAGGCCCAATCAAAATTATATGCAATGGAAATGAAGAGAAAGACCGACAAATACCAAAATTCAACGGCCGAAGTGGCAACCCAAAAGAATATCTTAATAAATTGAAAAGATATTACGACAGAGGACTTGAGCGAAACAGCAATTATGACCCGATTGAATATCTCAAAGACCTGCTAGAAACTTCATTCGAAGGTCCCGCCTCAAGATGGCTACAACTTGTAAAGACTGACTTAAGTTCCTGGGAACAATTTTCCAACGAATTCGAAGCTAAATACTGGTCAAGAGAAGTACAACGCAGCTTAAGAGCCAAAATCGAATCAGAAAAATACCGGTCAAATGGCACCCTCAGCCGCAGCGAATACCTTACAGAACGTGTAATTTCACTCCAATCTATGAGCCCTTGCCTAACCGAAGAAGAAATCGTGACACTGATGGCAGAGAGATTTGACTCCATCGTACAAGACTGCATCAATGTACAGAACATCACCACCGTACGTGCATTAGAAAGACTTCTACAACGTGAAGACCTCAAAGACGGACCAAAGAAGACACGCACCAACAACCAGAATCACAACAGCTCATCCAACAACCGACCGACAACTCCAAATCAACAACCACACATTTATCATCAAAACGGCCGCTACGAGAATCAGAGAGCGTACCAACCCAAGATACCTTCATATCACAACAATTCATACAACAACAATCACCAACACAGAAATTATCCAAATCATCAAAATTACCGTCCTAACTACAATCATCCTACTTACGACCGAAACCATGAAAACAAACCATATCAACGAGACAGATATCCTCCACGTAACGGTGACAACAACCAACGGACCTACAGAAACCACCCAACCCAAGAACAAGCTCAGCTTTGCGCAGTAATAAGACAAAATAACTACGTGCCAAGTGCTCCTCCGAATAACCAATCATCACACAGTTACGAGCCACAGACTCATCCTGCACCAAATATACAGGAAAACGGTTCGGCGCTGTAAGCGACAACCGAGAGGGTCAATTATCATTAGTTAACTCTAAAATTACAGCGCCTATTTATGAAAGTCTCTGTAATGAAATAAATCATCTTCAATCCCAAAGTATAATGTGTGATAAGAACTTCTTATTAGAAAATGATTCAGAAAATAATCAATCTCTAAATTTCACTCAAATAAGTTGCCCAGAAATTAGCATCAAACTTAATAATATTAGAGTAAACGCATTAGTCGACACTGGTTCATCAATAACTTGTATATCAGAATCCTGGTTCAGTGAAAATAAATCCAAAATTTCACCATTTGAAGAATTTCCAGTTAATAACACAGTAATCAAAACTGCTACAAATGAGCGATCCAAAAGAGTCTCTCGAATTATTTACGTTCCCACCACAATTGCAGAACACACCTTGCCATTGGAATATCTTATTGTACCAAATCTAATAAAACCTATAATACTAGGAGTAGATGTTTTGTCTAATCTTAAAATGGATCTGAATTTCAACACAAATGAAATAAATATGCAGATAAATAATCACAATGTTACTTTGAAGTTTTGTATGTGCAACCAAGAGGGACAAATATGTCACTTAATAATTAATGATAGCCATAGGCCAAATAATGAATATTTTAATGATGAAACGTTTGATGTATATCACGATGATCCAATATATAATAAATTTAACAGCACAATAAATAACTTCAAAAATAGAAAAAACAGATCCAATCGAAGATGAAACATTAACCCAAGAAGAAATAGAGAATTCCCTAGCAACAAATACGCACATAACCGCAGAAGAACGTGAAACATTAAGCAGTTTATTAAATAAATACCAGCTAAAGAAGATGAAGATGTTTTATACGGCCCCTACCATATATCAACCCTCAAGAAATATTTGGAACCAACCCGAGCAATAGAAGCTGTGATCGACGAGATAGATAATGATGACCCTACCTTTGAAGACATTCTATATTAATAAATCTCATAATGTGTTTCATCCATCAATAGACTTTTGTGCATCATAATCTCTAATCAAATTGTGCCATGGACCTTAATCGCGAGTGCGTGACCCCACAAATTGTGTTTTCCATAAACTGATACCCAGGTGATAAAGTTTATAAATAATACTCACTTACTAATAAACTGTGAACTCTCCTAACAAAGAAACAATAACGTTATTTGATATTGAACAGTATGGAACAACAGCTATAATATCCCTTTCTTCCCATGCCAGGCCATGAACACTCTATTCTATTTTCCCATTTTAATGTTATTGTCCTACACATTTGTTAACTTAGATTATAATTTTGTTGTATTATCACCCAATGTTCTATCATCCAGAAAATCAATCATTTAATGTTATTCATACCTATCTTTAAGTATCATTCATATTAATGATTCATGATTCCATTTCATATTTTGTCGAAATCTGTATTTCATTTCATAGCATACAGATTTCTGTGTGGATAATTTGTAATATTACATGTCATTCATTCATCATTAACATTAATTTCTCTTTTATTTTGTATATTTTCTCTCATAATGTCTGTTAATGCCCCTGATAATGTATTATCAGTTATTTAATATGTCCCTCCTTGTTAATGTGTTATTTTATCCAATTTTGTTCAATGTTATATAATATCCCATCACCCCACAGAAACATCATCCTATTTTATGTTACAATATAATATTTATGCAAATTATCTCCATTCCTATTAAGTACTCATCAAAAACCAACAATAATCATTTATTTAGAATAATATACAATTGTAAGAAAATTGCAATATAATAATAACATATCAAATATAGTATTATTTTTCAAAATTATCCAAAGAAAATCAAAATTACTGTGGCAAGTGTCATTCATGTGAATTAACCAGCTGTACATCACTTCAACAATGGACATGGACTTCCTGAGCTTCTACCATTGCCTCTCCCCAGATCCTGCCAACTCTTCACAGTGTGAACATCATTCTACTGGAAATTGTGTTTAATTTAAACTAAAATTCATAATCCCAAAGTAAAACCTAAAATTTAAATTTCTCACCATCCAAAAGTATTGGACAAGTGCATTGAAGAGTACAAATTTATAAGAAGACAGACACTCCAAATTTGGTAACCATCATCCATCTTATTTAACTAAGGACAAATTTAATCTTCATTGGACATTTAATCAGCATAGCCTACTAGGCCAAATTAACTCAACTCATCAAGATATATACATATTTCAAATTGAACTTTTATTCAAAATTTAATCTTCAAATTCTATTTTATTTCATTAAATTCAGTGAAACCATTTGGAATCTTTCTTTGGACATTAACATTATTATATTAATAGCATCATGAACCTAGCTTAACTTATTTCAGAACAATAACTAAATTAAATTATCTGCATTTTAAAGAAGCCTAGTATATCATTCGAACCGGCACGACCACCCCTCCCTAAGATTAAGAGGTCATCTATTTGAATATTAATTAGTACTTAAGAAGAAACCAACCCAATATAGGCCTAAGCCTAGAGAATCTTTTCATCCACTTTGGAACCCCACCATTTTGAAAATTTATCATTGTTAACTTACCCTGTAGCTAATTCAACCAATAACTTATCTTTTGTATTTCATTAATAAATTATATATTGTAACTTACCAAATCTATTTATTCTTAGAATAATTCATAATAATTATAAGATTAAGACAAAGACTTACCTTATTAGACAGAAATAAAACACAAATTAGGAATTATCTTTATTAAGAAAGAAATGACTTCAAGTTCAATGTGGGCTAACTCATTAGCCAAAGGAATTTTGTAGGCTTAAGTTTATGAAAGTCTATAGAAAGCTTTATGGTGCGTAGCAAGTTCAATTCTATTTTCACTTTTAATTGTGGTTCTACTTGGTTTTAAATCAATGAGGAGCGAGGTTTTTTATGGCAATGTTTCCAAAATTAAACTAGGTTTTACTTTTAATTCTAGCAAATATATATCATATTACCTGGTGTGATGATGGTACCCAAAACCATGGGTTCAAATATTTCCTCAATTATGTCTGGTTTGGGCAACTTAGACGGATCGGATACGAAGATTTCTTCACCACCATAAAATATAATGTTTTTCTTGCCTATGATTTTTACTGAAAACCAAGAACACAAAATTTAAGAATTTGTTTATTTAAATTTTAAATTACAAATTGGAAACATTCATGTAAGCAAACAGACAAAAAGAAAGAAAATAAATTATTATGTTATACCATTGACAAAGGTTATACCATGAGATAAATATTCCCTATATTAAATTCAATAATGAAGAATGCAATGTCTAATCAAGACTTAACTGCAGTTTTGTTCAGGTGAAAAATTATAATTAGCCAAAAAGCATATTCCATTGAAACAAAAATTTTGTTTTTATTGGTAATACAAGACTTTAAACACTGTTCAAGTCAGAATCTACTCAAACTCCTGCTCTAGTCTCTGGTTGAACACCTCCAGATGTAACAGTCCCAGGAAGCCTACCCTCCATCCTTGACCTAGGACTACATTACTGACCATGTCTACTGATTGTGATTACTCACCCTTGTAAGGTACACTAGGTGCTGTCATGACTACCTCAGCTCCATACTCCTGCTCTAGTCTCTGGTTGAACACCTCCAGATGTAACAGACCCAGGAAGCCTACCCTCCATCCTTGACCTAGGACTACATTACTGACCATGTCTACTGATTGTGATTACTCACCCTTGTAAGGTACACTAGGTGCTGTCATGACTGCCTCAGCTCCATACTCCTGCTCTAGTCTCTGGTTGAACACCTCCAGATGTAACAGACCCAGGAAGCCTACCCTCCATCCTTGACCTAGGACTACATTACTGACCATGTCTACTGATTGTGATTACTCACCCTTGTAAGGTACACTAGGTGCTGTCATGACTGCCTCAGCTCCGTACTCCTGCTCTAGTCTCTGGTTGAACACCTCCAGATGTAACAGACCCAGGAAGCCTACCCTCCATCCTTGACCTAGGACTACATTACTGACCATGTCTACTGATTGTGATTACTCACCCTTGTAAGGTACACTAGGTGCTGTCATGACTGCCTCAGCTCCATACTCCTGCTCTAGTCTCTGGTTGAACACCTCCAGATGTAACAGACCCAGGAAGCCTACCCTCCATCCTTGACCTAGGACTACATTACTGACCATGTCTACTGATTGTGATTACTCACCCTTGTAAGGTACACTAGGTGCTGTCATGACTGCCTCAGCTCCATACTCCTGCTCTAGTCTCTGGTTGAACACCTCCAGATGTAACAGACCCAGGAAGCCTACCCTCCATCCTTGACCTAGGACTACATTACTGACCATGTCTACTGATTGTGATTACTCACCCTTGTAAGGTACACTAGGTGCTGTCATGACTGCCTCAGCTCCATACTCCTGCTCCAGTCTCTGGTTGAACACCTCCAGATGTAACAGTCCCAGGAAGCATACCCTCCATCCTTGACCTAGGACTACATTACTGACCATGTCTACTGATTGTGATTACTCACCCTTGTAAGGTACACTAGGTGCTGTCATGACTGCCTCAGCTCCGTACTCCTGCTCTAGTCTCTGGTTGAACACCTCCAGATGTAACAGACCCAGGAAGCATACCCTCCATCCTTGACCTAGGACTACATTACTGACCATGTCTACTGATTGTGATTACTCACCCTTGTAAGGTACACTAGGTGCTGTCATGACTGCCTCAGCTCCGTACTCCTGCTCTAGTCTCTGGTTGAACACCTCCAGATGTAACAGTCCCAGGAAGCATACCCTCCATTCCTTGACCTAGGACTACATTACTGACCATGTCTACTGATTGTGATTACTCACCCTTGTAAGGTACACTAGGTGCTGTCATGACTGCCTCAGCTCCGTACTCCTGCTCTAGTCTCTGGTTGAACACTTCCAGATGTAACAGACCCAGGAAGCCTACCCTCCATTCTTGACCTAGGACTACATTACTGACCATGTCTACTGATTGTGATTACTCACCCTTGTAAGGTACACTAGGTGCTGTCATGACTGCCTCAGCTCCATACTCCTGCTCTAGTCTCTGGTTGAACACCTCCAGATGTAACAGACCCAGGAAGCCTACCCTCCATCCTTGACCTAGGACTACATTACTGACCATGTCTACTGATTGTGATTACTCACCCTTGTAAGGTACACTAGGTGCTGTCATGACTGCCTCAGCTCCATACTCCTGCTCTAGTCTCTGGTTGAACACCTCCAGATGTAACAGACCCAGGAAGCCTACCCTCCATCCTTGACCTAGGACTACATTACTGACCATGTCTACTGATTGTGATTACTCACCCTTGTAAGGTACACTAGGTGCTGTCATGACTGCCTCAGCTCCATACTCCTGCTCCAGTCTCTGGTTGAACACCTCCAGATGTAACAGTCCCAGGAAGCATACCCTCCATCCTTGACCTAGGGCTACATTACTGACCATGTCTACTGATTGTGATTACTCACCCTTGTAAGGTACACTAGGTGCTGTCATGACTGCCTCAGCTCCGTACTCCTGCTCTAGTCTCTGGTTGAACACCTCCAGATGTAACAGTCCCAGGAAGCCTACCCTCCATCCTTGACCTAGGGCTACATTACTGACCATGTCTACTGATTGTGATTACTCACCCTTGTAAGGTACACTAGGTGCTGTCATGACTGCCTCAGCTCCGTACTCCTGCTCTAGTCTCTGGTTGAACACCTCCAGATGTAACAGTCCCAGGAAGCCTACCCTCCATCCTTGACCTAGGACTACATTACTGACCATGTCTACTGATTGTGATTACTCACCCTTGTAAGGTACACTAGGTGCTGTCATGACTGCCTCAGCTCCGTACTCCTGCTCTAGTCTCTGGTTGAACACCTCCAGATGTAACAGTCCCAGGAAGCCTACCCTCCATCCCTGACCAAGAGCTGGACTTTAACGGAAAAAGCTTGTATTAATGCATCAAAATCCACAGCTTCAATAAGATTGTAAACTTAGTTAACCCTTTGAAAAAAGCAAGGATAAATTAGGCACCACATACAACTGGCTAGTGCTATTAGAGTCATTATACTTGCACAATGTGAAAACTTTTTAACACTACTTGAATTAATTTCATTTCATTCTTTGCCAATTTTGATATCACCATCAAAAGTTTTTTGTAAACCAGCTGACCCTTCTGCTTGCATATTCAATATCATTGACCACAATTCCCTGCATATCTGCTAGACAGCCTTCTTCCCTCCGGCTAAAGTAATTTTTGTTTCAACGTTGCTCTTAAAATATCAACCAAACAAATCGGCACAAACAAAAATCTGTGTAATCAAGAAGATTTTTGTTAGTTTTGAAGTTCTTGCTCCTGGCCTTCCATGTGGTCGAAAGTTTTGATGATAGTCAGTACTAATGTCCATCCGAGTGGCAGAAAAAACAATGTAAGATTTATCTAAGCTTCTGAGCAGTATGTTGCGGCCAGTACAGCTTGTTAACCAATTGATCAAGACAATAGTTTAAACGCATATTTGAAAGCAAGAACTCTAACCACTCAGCTCCAGATAAAACTTGAAGAAAATGTAAATATCCTGACAAAGGGTGAACAAATAGTCTTTCAGATATCAAAGTGTTAAATTGTTTCACTATAACAATTATAGTTAAATTGCATCAACAATGTTGAAGAAATCAGTCCAACCTACCTAGAGTCTGGAGTCACTGTAACAGCAGGATCGTTGAGGGCTAGTTTCTCTATGGCATTGCGCATGTTGACGTGTTGACCCTGGTCCATGGGGTAGACTCCGGCGAAGACCATGGGTCTGGCGGGGGTGAAGCCCATCAGAGGTTCCACGGAGGTAGAGGAGTGATGTATAGTGTCTCCTATGTGAGCCTCCGCCACGGAGCGCATGTTGCAGACCATCCATCCCACCTGGCCCCCTACACTGGCATACCACAGGGGTCAGTTCTCAGAGTGGTGCTCTTCACAAGTATATTTTTATCCATGTGTTTTTTACTTACCCATTCCTACAAACATCGCTAGTAAGGCACCTGGTCTTTGGGGGATCGAGCTCGACCAGAGGTTAGAGTGCAGGACTTTGGTCCTTGAGGTCCCGGGTTCAAATCCCACCAAATCAACAATGGATTTTATCAAAGTGATAATGCCGCAACCCCTAGGTCTAGCCTGAAGTAATGTGAAAAACAATCCGACCTCGTTCCTAGAGTACTAGGACTAAAAAAAAATTAAAAAAGGCCTTGTTGCTATCTGACGTCAAACCTTTGCTACATAATTAATTTATACAGTCCAATGAAAAAGGTCTCGATCCAGGATTAATCCAACTCCTTTAAATCAGTGACCTTTACATTTAAAAGTGAGAAAATAACCACTCAGCTGCTCAGATAAAATTTTGGGTAAAAGCTAAAATTCCTGATACGGGGTGAACAAAATAGCAGCCATGTCTAGCCTCCTCCCTCCTCTAATACTAATACATGGCTGTGGCGAGCACCACAGTCCCAGCCTACCGAGACTTAGCTTAGCTGTAGCACTACCTCATATGGAGCGTCTGCGCCATGTTTGTTATTATTGTTATTGCCAAAGCAATAGGCTGGCGAGTGGGACACCACACACCAACACCACAGCCTTGTGTTAAAGAATGTTATGGTCTTAACACTGAAAATATACCTATTTATACATACAGTTTGTTGGTAGGTTCCTCATGCGGCCTCAGTAAGCCAACTCCTTTGACAGAGTATTTCCGTTGGCTGTGAGCTGATGTTATCTCATCTCCCACCTTCAAACTACCATCCCTTATGTAGACTAAAGCTACGGCTCCGCGGTAACGATCATACCAGCTGGAAACATTAATTTAGTTACACTTCTTTAAAAGCATTAATTATCTAGTTGTACCGTTTAGAGAACTTAGAAAGTCTCTACTATTAGAGAAGGAGCTAAGTAGCTTAGAGTGTTTATTTGTGCAATTATAGAGTAATTTCATCTATTTTCTTAAGAAAGCTGTTAAACCTGTTCATTAAAAAGTGCTTAACACGTTTGCTGCTACGGACGTTCCAGAACGTCAAACGGGCCACGGCGCCAGGAGCTAGGAACGTTCCAGAACGTCGCCGTTCATTGATGTTTAACGTTACCATGGATCAGCCAGCTCGTCACGAGCGTCCTATATTTCTTTGCAGCTCGTGGGGACGTACTTTTCTGACAATAAAAAATATAGTTTCCCAAAATCATCACCAGGGTCGTTTAGAACAGGGCTTTGTCCCACCTCTTACCTGCTAGAAAGTGATACTACTTACCGACTGCAACCTGGGTAGTGCTGCTATCTATCTGAATCACTTAGTACTATGTCCAAAGCCAGTTTTATTGCAGAACATTGCCATCCAGCACAACTACTGTTGTTTTTACTGTAATTCAGTGTATCGGCAGCAATTTTTATGCAGCGGCGAGCGTTAGTTCAGCTCCTGGTGCCGTCCCGGCATCTAGCGGTCAGCAGCGAACGTGTTAAAACCCTGGCCTAAGCCACCTTTAAGTTACCAATACCGTCATGACCTAGTTGTAAGTTGATTTGAGGAAGGAGTTTTATTTATGAGATTTTGGTACAATTCTGAATGAGGCAAAGCTTTAACGAGGTAACACAAGTTTAGTAAGGAGTATAGAGTTAATGTATAGTCATTAACTAGCAGTTAACAAAGAGTTGGCACACTCTTGGAATGTCAGTTAACCAGAAATCGGGTTAACAGTATAGTGAGTTGATGAGTTTACTCTTTTTGGCATGCAATTATACTGTGAGTTTATAAGTACCCAAAAGTTTATTGGCAGAGAGTTAACTGATAATTTAAAAAGTTGTTTGCGTAAAGTTGTATATTAAAAATTGGAATACAGTATAAGGAATTGTTTATGAGTATTGTAAGACAAATAACTATCCTTACTATCAAATTACTAAATGAATGTATATAATCGACCCACCTGTCAAATATGAGAGCCCGTAGAGGAGCTTCCCTATCTCCAGGAGGCGGTGGTATTCTCTCTACCACTGCCTTGAGCACATTGTCCACACCAGTGCCTACTTTAGCTGATATCTGCGGACAAAACATAACATTAGAGTACACAGTTCAGACATACCAAAAGAGTAAAAAGTTTTTATCCAGTTTTTATGTTTGAAAATCTTCAGCTAAAGCTCTCACACATTGTGAGTCAGTGGCTCAGTCGGTATTTCCACGGAGTTTAGACTCTAGAGAGTACTATATCATTTAAAATCAAAATTGGGCTTGCTTTTTACATGACAAATTATTCAGAATGCTAACTAGAAAAAATGTTTGCCATGCTGAAGGACTAACCATCAAGACATCATCCGGATCAATGGTGAACAAGTTGAAGAGTTGATCTTTGCAGAGATCAGGATCAGCGTTCTTTAGATCAATCTTGTTGAGTACAGGCAGCACAGTGAGGTCTTGACCAAACGCAAGGTAGAAGTTAGCTACAGTCTGAGCTTGAACACCTTGGTTGGCATCTACCAGAAGAATCACACCTTGACATGCTGCTAGAGACCTAAACATTTTAGAGAGCGATAATGATAAGTAGGTCTAGGTCTTCACCAAACGCAAGGTAGAAGTTGGCTACAGTTTGAGCTTGAACACTCTGGTTGGCATCTACCAGTAGAATCACACCTTGACATGCTGCTAGAGACCTAAACATTTAGAGAGTGATAAGTAGGTCTAGGTCTTGACCAAACGCAAGGTAGAAGTTAGCTACAGTCTGAGCTTGAACACCTTGGTTGGCATCTACCAGTAGAATCACACCTTGACATGCTGCTAGAGACCTAAACATTTAGAGAGCGATAATGATAAGTAGGTCTAGGTCTTGACCAAACGCAAGGTAGAAGTTAGCTACAGTCTGAGCTTGAACACCCTGGTTGGCATCTACCAGAAGAATCACACCTTGACATGCTGCTAGAGACCTAAACATTTAGAGAGCGATAAGTAGGTCTAGGTCTTGACCAAACGCAAGGTAGAAGTTAGCTACAGTCTGAGCTTGAACACCTTGGTTGGCATCTACCAGTAGAATCACACCTTGACATGCTGCTAGAGACCTAAATTTAGAGAGCAATAATGATAAGTAGGTCTAGGTCTTGACCAAACGCAAGGTAGAAGTTAGCTACAGTCTGAGCTTGAACACCTTGGTTGGCATCTACCAGAAGAATCACGCCTTGACATGCTGCTAGAGACCTAAACATTTAGAGAGCGATAATGATAAGTAGGTCTAGGTCTTGACCAAATGGAAGGTAGAAGTTAGCTACAGTCTGAGCTTGAACACCTTGGTTGGCATCTACCAGTAGAATCACACCTCGACATGCTGCTAGAGACCTAAACATTTAGAGAATGATAATGATAAGTAGGTCTTCCCAACAATTCTGTGGTGGCTTTAAGTCCCCTGCAAAACTAGTGGTAAAGTGAGGGATCAGAACCATGAAGATCCTAGGTCGGCAACAAATAAAAATTAAAATAACTACCGTACTTTATTTGGAATTCAGTTAAAACAAAATTAAAATTATGTCCTTGCTAAAGCAGATTTGACCTGCATTTGTTTTCAGTGCTCATTGACTATCACAAGAATATAAAATAGCTTATTCCCTATATGGGAAATTCGCTAAAAGGAAGTACCAAATTCAACTTTGTTGTTTGCTGTGGTACTATAAACAATGGCAGTAGACATTTTAAGCAAACTATGAATGTTCCTTACACTTTATGGACACAGAAATAAAAATTCTTTTAAAATTAGTTTTTGTGGACAGTGTTTAGGACTTCATACTATGGAAAGGTAAACATTTTCTAAAAATACACTACCTGGCAACCTCATTGGAGAAATCAACGTGGCCAGGTGTGTCAATGAGGTTCAACAAATACTCTTCTCCTTGGTGATTGTAGAACAATGAGGCAGTCTGAGCCTTCACTGTAATGCCTCGCTCTCTCTCTACCTGCAATCTGATATTAACAAGATTGTGAGATAAATATTGATATCAAGTTACCTACCTACTCATTAAATATAGCCTTTTGTAATATAATTAATTGAATAGCAAAAATTAACAGCTCACCTGTCAAGCACTTGTTTATTTTCTGGGTTTGCCACCAATGTTCCCGTCATCTCCAGAAGCCTATCTGCCAAAGTACTTTTCCCATGATCAACGTGAGCTATTATACTAAAATTTCTTATATTCTTCTGGGGGATTTCTTCTGCACTTGATACTTTGCTTTCATTGGACTTAGTTTCAACCTTCTCTCCATAGTTTTGTGTTAGACTGGTAGATATATATCTGAAATACAAAATCGTAAATAAATAAGTCATCCCAATACATATTAATAACCTTATTGCTGAAATCTTTAACCAGATGCTGCATCTATCTTACAAGACGCAAGAGTCAAAATCTTCGATCACTAAAGAAAAGTCTCTCGTAGGATTAAACATCCTTTTCCCAACATTTGCCCAAACTCAAGTTTTTCCCTTACTTTAGCTGTAGGCCCTATATTCTAGATTAGGCCTATAGTTTGATTGATTTAACAAATAGACAGGGGTTTGAGCTTAGGCTACTTCTTGATTTGGTGCACTTCATTTTTGTATCAGATTGTCAGTTAACGGACAGACAGTCAGACAGTAAGGTTCTGGTAGATCAAACCTACCTTAGATTAATTTACCAATGAGTAAAATGACACTTGAAAACTGAATCATTTCAGACATGAAACATTATTACCATAGAAGACTAAAATTTAAGGTAGGCCTACATAACCTCACGTCCACAGTTCATAAATGTATGGTCAAACCCACTACATGTTTCGCCTATACATAGGCATTGTCAAGTGATTCTTCAAGAACGTTTCGTCCATTGTATGTAGACTCGTCAAAAAATATTTAAATAAATACACAAAACACGATAAGTTTACATTGTACGAAACATTTAACACTTAGTAGGCCTACTATTTACCGGTCGCAGTACGGTAAAAGGCTCTGCCTCCGTACCGCTAACGTAACGTTCTTGAAGGATCACTTGACAATGCCTAACTTATGTATAGGCGAAACATGTACCGTAGTGGGTTTGACCATACATTTATGAACTGTGGACATGAAGGTAGGTAGGTACCTTAAATGTTTGCCTAATCAACAGTTCAGGGGCTACACAATGAATTTCAAACCATTGAAGACCTCATACCACGCTTTGGAGTAAAAGTAACGAGTAGGAAGCAATGTTAGCACTTTATCTTTAGCCTGTCAAGAATAGCTGTGAGTATACTAAGATGATTCATTCTAAAATTCTATTAGGCTACTACCTTAGTAGGGATGAGCATCGATAGTCGATGTTTTTGAAACATCAAGGTTTTTTTTACATCGATGGTAGGTTACCAATGTTTTTTGCCAAGCATTGAGAGTACAAAAACAGACAAAAACCTGAAAAACATTGATGTTTTAATCCCAAAAACATCGATGTTTTCGCAACAATGTTATTGGTACAACGATGGTTGACCTATCAATGCTCATCCCAAAAATCCTACTAGTTCTAAATTTACTGCTAAGAACTCAGGAAAGGTTAAGTTTTCCTAGTTATTTCAACAGACCCAAGTAATAACATAAATTGTCTTACCTCTGACAACGACACCAATAAATGTCTCCCCTAAATTTTTTAAACTTTAAAATTGATTGATAATTTGCACTCCTTGACAGAATAGGTTTAATCCACATTGTCTCAGATAGGCACAAGCCCAACCTTTAAGAAATGTGTATAGCCTATAATACCCTGATATAAAACCCTACAATAAATTGAATTGCATTCTCGTTGGTTGAAACTGTTTATAAAAAAGACAATATTTATCATCGGACCAAATTTGAATTATTTTGAATAAGAATAGATGAATATACTACTTTTTAATATTTTATTATAGGTTAGGAATTAAGTATAGTTACAGCAGCTCACTTTCACTATCAAACTACAAATTCATAACAAAACATAACAGCTGATGAGCTAATTGATGGACAGCTGTTTTTATTTATTTCGTGCTGAGCTGATTAGTATTAGCAGTCTGGCCAAAATCAGGGCAATAATAGTTTATATCAGTGCATTGATTATAAATCTAACAAGGGCAATAATTAAATCTAGTCAGAGTACACTTAATTTACAGTTTCTATACCTATTGTCAGCTCAAAACAAGGTTATTATCATAGACTAATCAAGTGGACTTCTCATTCCATTGTAAAATTTGAAGCTCGATTTTCGTGTCTGTCTAGTTCATGTTGGTAACACTGAGCGCTAGTGTAAACAAAACTTTGTTTCTATTATTTATTTTAGAGTCAATTTAATTATTTGTACTTTACTGTTTAATTATTTACTATCCCAGATAGCACGTAAGCTTGATTCAAGCCTTGAATTACGCTTGCTTTTACTTGAAATGGCAGCTTTGAATGGTCACTTTAGATTCAAACTCGAGTCAAATGTCAACTTCGTGTAACACACTTGAATTACGCTTACAGTGGATTGAATTAACAGCTTTGAAATGTCACATTAGATTCAAACTGGATTCGAGTATACAAAACACACTACTATTACGCTTGCGCTTGCTTGTATTAACAGCTTTGAAATATCACATTAGATTCGAATCCGAGTCGAGTGTAATATTACCCACAATGCACTTCCATTACGCTTACGTTGGCTTGAAATTACAGCTTTTAATTATCACGTTGGATTCGAATTGGAGTCGAGTCCGAGTGTAAGTTTACCCATAATTCCGAGCGGGAACGACGCTAACGGTGGGACCGACACTTGAAGGAAGACGCCATCGGCCATATTGCTTTGTTTTGTTTATTGTGTATTTAGTATTTGTGAGTGATTCTTCATTCTCAATCTCTCTCATTGAGTTGAGAATATCGATATTGTGGTGCTGAGTTGTTCAAGTTATTATATTATTGTTAAAGCTGATTTTTTATTAAGTTTCATCTAGGCCTATTTCTTCTTATCCATCAAGGTAAGTTCTTATTAGCACAAAATAAGTAAACTCAAGTCAAGGATTGTAACTAACAAAATCAAATCGTCTTAAGTTAATTAAGAATAGCCTAGGAAGAAATTAAGTAAACTCAAAATCAGTGAAAATTTTGAAAGAACTAAGTATAGCCTAAAGCTAGCCACTTTTGAGTTGGTAAGCCTACGTGCAATGAGTAACTTAGCCTAGCCTAAAAAATAAAAAGGTTAGAGGCGAAGTGTATTTAAATAGGTTATGACCGATAATGTGTTGTCAACTTATCGGCCTAACTTTGTTTGAGTTGTTTGTATGCATAAAAACATTTTTTTTTTACCAGCTTGGATATCAAGTTCTCCATGTAAGATACTTAGGTATTGTGGTACCGGTATGGTCTAACTTAGGCCTAGGCATTGTCTTCACTGTTTGTAGTATAGACTATGGTAGGTTATAGCCTAGATTAGCCATAATGGGCCTAAGTTACGTTGTAGACTATTCTATAAAGCTGGGTTTTTCTAGGCGGGGAGAGAGTAGCGTGGAGAGTGAACTCCTCTTGTCTTAAATAGTTTAATCTTACTGTTTTCTTAGGAAGCAGAGCGGAATGCCATGTTAATAGATTTTCCGCTCTCCGCGCTCCTTTTCCGCGTCTAGGAAAACCCAGCTTTAGACTTAACTTAATGCCATATTTTATACCATGATGTTTTAATGTGTAGGTAACTTATATCTTAGGGCTAGGGACTTAGAGCTAAGTTACTTCAGTAGCCTACTCGATAAGTATTTTAGCCTACTTTGTTAGTGACACTGTCAGATAAAATGCAGTAGGCCTAACCTACGTTTAATTGCAGTAAGAGTCTGGTCAGCTTTCAGGCGATTAGTTTCTGATATAGGTAGCCTCATTTCTTCTCCATTAAACTAAAATTGGCATTAAGTTAGGTTAACTTACTTTGATTTAGTCCACTTAACTTAAGGCCTATTTTGCTTGGAGCGACTGTAGCGATAGTCGCACAGCGATTATCGCTCAGTTACTATCGCTGTTACGGCGACCGTTTTGCTTAGAGCAATTGATTTACGGTCGTCGTACGATTTTTCATCAGCACTCACAATGGTGAGGTCATGAGTGCGTGTTGTAACTTTTTAAACTATCTCCTCAGGGAGGAGTTAGAAGACGAGGCTCTACTTGACCCTAGGGGAAGTATCAATAGACGATCGATAGAAAATACATAGTGATAGGATAGGATAGCAGTGAGTGATAGGGTTTGGAACGGACACGTATCACTAGATGTCATTAGGTAGGATATAGAGAAAACTGTAGGCTAGTTTAAGCTACTTATTAAAATCAAAACTAAGAAAAATGCAAAGGAACCTAAACCTAAATAAATAAGTAGGCTAGGTTATTTATTTAGGTTACTTATTTAGGTTTAAGTTTTTTTGCATATTTCTTAATTTTAATCCTTTAGCCTATAGCAAAATAGGCTAGTATAATATAATATACAATACATATAAAAATAAATTAGATTAAAATGTTTTTCGTGGACCCCACAAAAAAATGCTTGCGGACCACACCTTGAGAAACTCTGACCTAAGTTAAACTTAATAATTTAGGTACATCGAATGAAACATTTTAATCTGAGTCAAACATTTAAAGTTATAACTTTACTTAAGTATTTTATGGGAAAATAACATAATCCTAACTTAACTTAATATTTTAAGGTTACCTAAGTTAAATTATCGAATAAAAGTTGCATCTAATGATATAAAATAGGCCTTTTGTAGGTTTATTGCAGAACTGTACCTGGGTGTTTTAATATAAATATTTTATAACTAAAATAACTTAGGTCTAGGCTTAAGTTTAGACACAGGTTATGTAATAAAGATCTTCTAAATAAAGTTATACACATCGGCCTACAGCTGGTTTATTTTTAACCAGAAGCGGTTAAGATAGGCACTGTAGGGGTGGCACAATTTTTATTTCACCTGCGGAATTTTAATACGGACGAAATGAGAGTAAAAAAATAAAAAAAATTATAATATGTGTAATATAAAAATTAAACTGTCATAACCTAACCTAACTAACCAAACTTGCTGATAATCGCTACTGATGATCGCTATTACTAATCGCTACTGAATAATTTACTACCTTTAGTCCATCAGTGACGTTGAATATTAGGATCGGTCTATTTTGATCGCCCTACCGGCGCATGTACCGATCAGTAGCGAACTTGTTAAACAATTGATTTATTAAAATACTAAGGATACCTAATATGAAAGTAAAATCTTGAACTTCAGAAATTAAACCTAACCCTATGTTTGAAATGGGAAGACAAACTTTAGTTCTTAGGGGTTAAATGTAGGCTATTATTCTGTATTAAGTTCATTGTAGGCTATTATTCTGTATTAAGTTCATTGTAAGTATTTTTTTTTTTAGCTGCTGCACAGAAAATGTTGGGCATAAGTGAAGTCACGGAAGCCAAAGTTACAAGCGTTGTTGCTAAGTGGCTTCAACAAGCCAAAACCAGATGTGAAAGAAGGTAAGGATAAAAAATTGTCACTAATTAACTATTCAACTCATCATTAATAGAATGCCATTGGTAGCCTAATAATACAGTAGAACCCCTCATATCCGGCCTTGGTTTTACCGGTCCTCTGTTTATCCGGCCCCTTCCAGGAAGCCAATATCAAAATTTTTTTCTCACAGCTTACAGACGTTTAGATGCAAGCACTAGTCTTTGTGACTGCTCAAGTCATAAAATAAATTGTTCTCACTATTTATCTGTTTGCTTATACATTTATTGGCTGAGTCACTATACTCAGTTGAGCTAGTAGGCCTAACCTCTGATCAGTTGGCTGATTATTTCCAAAGTGGGTTTAAGTACAGTACAGTACGAGTACATTAATTTTTGTATTTCACAAAATGGTTAAGAATGTTGAGTAGAAATGCAAGTACCATTTAAGTCCTAATGATCTTTAAGTACAATTTATTGTCATTTTTACCTCCATTTAATATGTTTTGTTACCTGGAATCATAATATTTGTACATTCATTACTTAATGACTTTAACCTACAAATATTTTTTTTCCTTTATTACAAACATATGTTCATTTTTCTAAAAATAATCCCAGGACAGAATTAAATGATACTTTTGATTGCATATATTGATTACCTATTATTATTAGGTATGAATTGTCATTTTCATAGTAGGTTGGTTTATCCGGCCAAATCGTTATCCGGTCAGGGGCTTGGTCCCGTGGTGGCCGGATATGAGGGGTTCTACTGTACTGTACAGTGGATTCAATTATACAGGGAAGGAGACAGTTGAAACTGACGTGCCCTCATACTTGTTACATGATAAAAGTCTAATAGAAAATATATTTAAGCCAATAATGTTAATTCTGTAAAAATAGCCAAACTATAGACACTTTGGGATAATTACTGTAAACAAAACACAAGATGCCAAGACTTTATGCCTTTTAAATATTTTGATCTTTAGACATGTGATGAATGGTCTCAAATCTATCCTACAAGACAAGTTGTTTCAGCACCGCTCACTTCCTGCCGATCCAGTGTGGTTAAACCGTACTGATAAAAATTGTCTGGTTTAAGAAATATATCTGCTGAGTGCAGTCTGGTTACTAGGTGATCGGGTAAAAAGGAGTCTACTGCATAATGGTTTTTCATAAAAATGTTTTTTATTGTTTATCATTATGATTACTCAAGTACTTTATAAGCTAAAAATACCCCCGCCGCAGCAAACCTGCCGACTAAGTGAATTTCCATTTGCCTGAATTGATTTTCAATTAAATGTATTTAATTAACATTAGCTTTAATGAGTACCTAGGCTTGCTGCTACAAGGAGGGTAAAAAAGTGTGTTTTTTAGTAAAATATTAATTACTTAGTATCAAATAAATAAATTTACCAAGTTTGGACAAAAACAAGCAAACTACGACATTTTACACTATTCTCCATAAGAATTT